GCATTCTACCTGGCATATATTCTGTGGCATATGTTCTGGCATATCTTCTGGCATTCTTTCTGGCATTCTATCTGGCATATCTTCTGGCATATTATCTGGCAAATCTTCTGGCATTCTATCTGGCAAACATTCTGGCACTTTATCTGGCATACCTTCTGGCATTCTATCTGGCATGCTATCTGGCATATCTTCTGGCATTCTACCTGGCATATGTTCTGGCATATCTTCCGGCATTCTATCTGGCATTCTATCTGGCATATCTTCTGTCATATTATCTGGAAAATCTTCTGGCATTCTATCTGGCAAACATTCTGGCACTTTATCTGGCATATCTTCTGGCATTCTATCTGACATTTTATCTGGCATTCTATCTGGCATACCTTCTGGCATTCTATCTGGCATATCTTCTGGCACTCTATCTGACATTCTATCTGGCATATCTTCTGGCATTCTATCTGGCATATCTTCTGACACTCTATCTGGCATATCTTCTGGCATTCTATCTGGCCGTTGAGGTCCAGCGTTGCACACTGAGCTGGGAAGGTCCCAGGTTGAGGTCCAGCGGTGCACACTGAGCTGGGAAGGTCCCAGGTTGAGGTCCGGCAGGGAACACTTGGCGTGGATACTCGCGGTTGAGGTCCGGCAGGGAACACTGGGCGTGGATGGTCGTGGTTGATGTCCGGCAGGGAACACTGGGCGGGGATGGTCGTGGTTGAGGTCCGGCAGGGAACACTGGGCGTGGATGGTCGTGGTTGAGGTCCGACAGAGAACACTGTGCATCGAGGGTCGCGGTTGAGCAGGAGGAGGAGGAGAGGAGAGGAGGAGAGGAGCAGGCAACTGACATAAAATCTAACAACCCTCACCTGGCAGGTGGGGAAAAATGGTTTAAAACTGATTTATATATAACTAGTTTTTTTTAATAGTTGAAACAGTGTTTAAAAATGTTGAAAAAACAGTTTTTAACACCATAGAAATTCTTGAGAATCAAATTCTGGAATCTTGTGACCATGATATTTCTTCAATATAAGGTGACACTTGCACCATCCCATATCTGATTGGGTTTCCTGGCCATTGGCTGCCCAGCCATTGTGTAGTTTCCTCTCAACCTGAGCTGGCAAGTGCTGGCATGTGAATGATGTTGAAGGTTTGCTTGAAGGGTGCCATGTGTATGCAGTGTATTTATTAAACACTCCTCAGGGGAGTTTTACATATCTATATGGTTAGGTTACAGGTAGGCAAAATTGCTATACTGCAGATCCAGGACAAAGCAAGGACAAGACAATCTGGCAAATGACAAAACTGCCTTGCAAATTACTTTACTTCGTGTGATCCCCACCATGACATTTATACATTTTCTTACTGGCAAATCTTCTGGCATTCTATCTGACATATCTTCTGACATTCTATTTGACATTCTATCTGGCATATCTTCTGGCATATGATCTGGCATATCTTCTGGCATATCTTCTAGCATTCTATCTGGCAAATCTTCTGGCATTCTATCTGGCATATCTTCTGGCACTCTATCTGACATATCTTCTGGCATTCTATCTGGCATATCTTCTGGCATATATTCTGACATATCTTCTGGCATTCTATCTGACATATCTTCTGGCATATATTCTGACATATCTTCTGGTATATCTTCTGGCATATCTTCTGGCATATCTTCTGACATATCTATCTGGCATATCTTCTGGCATATTTTCTGGCATTCTATCTGGCAAATCTTCTGCATTCTATCTGGCATTCTATCTGGCATATCTTCTGGCATATTATCTGGCATTCTATCTGGCATATCTTCTGGCATATCTTCTGGCATATCTTCTGACATTCTTTCTGACATTCTTTCTAAATTTCTTCTGCACATTCTTTGTCCCATATCTTCCTACATGAGGTCCGGCAGGGAACACTTGGCGTGGATACTCGCGGTTGAGGTCCGGCAGGGAACACTGGGCGTGGATGGTCGGGGTTGAGGTCCGGCAGGGAACACTGGGCGAGGATGGTCGTGGTTGAGGTCCGGCAGGGAACATTGGGCGTGGATGGTCGTGGTTGAGGTCCGGCAGGGAACACTGGGCGTGGATGGTCGTGATTGAGGTCCGGCAGAGAACACTGTGGATCGCGGGTCGCAGTTGAGCAAGGACGACGAGGACGACGAGGACGACGAGGAGGACGAGGAGGAGGAGGAGAGGAGGACGAGGCAGGAGGAGGCGGAGGAGGAGGAGAAGGAGGAGGAGGAGGAGAAGGAGGAGGAGGAGGAGGCAACTGACATAAAATCTAACAACCCTCACCTGGCAGGTGGGGAAAAAAAAATGAATCTTGGAACTGCTGCATCAAACACCATGGCTGAAACTTTGAGGATCCACACACATGCATTGACCTGGGGAAAATGACTATAGACCCGCGTCCTTCTTTCCGAACGGTTTGGTTGAACCAAAAGTGCTGGTACCTAAAGAATGCGCAGAAGGATGTGGAATGTAGAAGGGATGTCAAAGGATGGCTAGGACTGGCGCTCGTTTTTGCACACGTCACATTCGAAACGAAGGATTGCTTCTGGCGCTGCTTTTTCTCTGAGCAACTTTTGGCACGCGGCCAACAACGACAACTTCTGCGCCGGCCAACATACACCCCGCCCCCTCAGACAAGCCACTAATTAGGTGGGTTTCGGCCAGATAATCTATGCACCTTATCGCATAACGTGAGTACGCGCGCTTACAAAACAAACATAATGAAGTATAAACTCAATTATACTTAAAATTTGAAATCACTCTGTTTGAAACTTTTTATCTCTTTGCTTAATTGTCGAAAATGGGGCAGGTCCACGCACGTCAGACATCTCGCTGACTACTTCTCGCTTTTCTTTGTAAAACACTTGTTGCAGACACACTGCACGACCAGCTGAGGTAAAAGGTTTGCACAACTGCATGTCAAAACAAAAAGGTCCTTCGACCCAAAGTAGGTTCTGACTTCTCAGAGTTTTTGGTGGCTTCCTTTCCTCCCCTTGTGAACGCAGGGTGGGATACTTAGTATCATTTGGGCGGGTCGCGGTCACAAAACGACAAACGGTCCCACCCACCCACCACTCTTGAGACGAGCGCGGGAGACACATAAGATTAAAATGTGATCAAACAAAAAAACAACTGAACATGCACTGTTGCAAGTTTAATGCCAAAAAAATTACTTTACTTCGTGTGATCCCCACCATGACATTTATCGATTTGTTACTGGCAAATCTTCTGGCATTCTATCTGACATATCTTCTGGCATTCGATCTGGCATTCTATCTGACATATCTTCTGGCATTCTATCTGGCATAGCTTCTGGCATTCTACCTGGCATATCTTCTGGCAGATGTTCTGGCATTCCATTTGGCATTCCATCTGGCATTCTATCTGGCATATCTTCTGGCAAATCTTCTGGCATTCTATCTGATTCTATCTGGCATTCTATCTGGCATAGCTTCTGGCATTCTACCTGGCATTCTATCTGGCATAGCTTCTGGCATTGTACCTGGCAGATGTTCTGGCATTCCATCTGGCATTCTATCTGGCATATCTTCTGGCATATCTTCTGGCATATCATCTGGAATATCTTCTGGCATTCTATCTGATTCTATCTGGCAAACATTCTGGCACTTTATCTGGCATATCTTCTGGCATTCTATCTGACATATCTTCTGGCATTCGATCTGGCATTCTATCTGACATATCTTCTGGCATATCTTCTGGCATTTTATCTGGCATATCTTCTGGCATTCTACCTGGCATATCTTATGGCATTTTATCTGGCATATCATCTGGCATTCTATCTGACATTCTATCTGGCATATCTTCTGGCATTCTATCTGGCCGTTGAGGTCCAGCGGTGCGCACTGAGCTGGGAAGGTCCCAGGTTGAGGTCCACCCCAGTGACTCTGTCATCTGTTCAAACTGATTGCTTCAAACTTTGCCACCTGCAAAGTGAGAAGTGGCATTGCCCCGGTCACTCTACCACACACGCGCGAGTTTGCAAGTAATATATAACATACTTGTCTGACATTCTTTCTAACTTTCTTCTGCACATTCTTTGTCCCATATCTTCCTACATGAGGTCCGGCAGGGAACACTTGGCGTGGATACTCGCGGTTGAGGCCCGGCAGGGAACACTGGGCGTGGATGGTCGTGGTTGAGGTCCGGCAGGGAACACTGGGCGGGGATGGTCGTGGTTGAGGTCCGGCAGGGCACACTGAGCGTGGATGGTTGTGGTTGAGGTCCGGCAGGGCACACTGAGCGTGGATCGCGGTTGAGCAGGAGGAGGAGGAGAGGAGAGGAGAGGAGAGGAGAGGAGAGGAGAGGAGAGGAGCAGGCAACTGACATAAAATCTAACAACCCTCACCTGGCAGGTGGGGAAAAAAAGTGGCATTTTTTTGTTTGATTGTTTCAGTGTTTCAAATGTCTGGGCAAGTGTTTGACACAACAAACGACAAAGACAGTGTCATACTAAACCGACAAACAGTCAGACAAGGGCCGCAAGACAAGGAAACACTGCCACTGAAATATTTAAACAGTACTGCGCCCAGTATCACGCAAGATACGCGGAGGGCGAGAGAAGAGGAGAACTTTTGCAGTCACTTAAGACTGCAAGAGAGGAGGTAAGCGCGCAACCATTTGGACACAACCAAAGGTTAAGACTCACTTCATTTTCGATAAAGCCATATCACCTTCGGTGAAATAAACCTTATCGCATAACGTGAGTACGCGCGCTTACAAAACAAACATAATGAAGTATAAACTCAATTATACTTAAAATTTGAAATCACTCTGTTTGAAACTTTTTCTCTCTTTGCTTAATTGTCGAAAATGGGGCAGGTCCACGCACGTCAGACATCTCGCTGACTACTTCTCGCTTTTCTTTGTAAAACACTTGTTGCAGACACACTGCACGACCAGCTGAGGTAAAAGGTTTGCACAACTGCATGTCAAAACAAAAAGGTCCTTCGACCCAAAGTAGGTTCTGACTTCTCAGAGTTTTTGGTGGCTTCCTTTCCTCCCCATTTCAACTCTTTCCATAAGCTGCCAAAAGCTCTTGACAGACTCAAGTGCAAACTGGTAAAGTGGTTTACTCCGCGTTGAATTGCTGTAACTTCCAAACTCTAAACGGGAGGCATTGTCTGCCGGATTGCTCTTCGACGGCACCCTCCCATACCAGTGTCGAGCCTGATACCTGAGATCCAATCGGGCATTCAATTGCAGGAGGAAAAAGTTATCAAGTACCGCTGAAAAATTCCTGACCAAAGCCATTCTTGCTGCCTCGTTGTCGATAAACCAAAGTGTGCTTCGTCCCTCAATATGACTGCACCATGTTTCTTTCGAGGTCAGGACTGGAAGGATCTCAGCCTGGCATATAACTTGTTTCCCTCCATGACGTCTCCACAACGCAAGAAATTCTGCTGGCACCACGTCTCCAAAGTAGAAACTGCATTGTTTCCATGGGTCAATCAAAATAGCTCCATGGGTTACCCCCTGGTCTCCATCTTCAACTGCTCCGTCAGTGAAAAGCAACAAAGGAGGGCAGTCACTCCAAGCACTGATTAGACGCGGCTTCGCACTCATCAAACTGTCCAAAGCTTCGGCCACTGAATGCACCAATTCTGCTGTCACTGTAACGCTTGGACCGTTGCCGCCGAACTTATGCAGAAGTTGGCAAGCAAGTTGAGTGCACTTCCCATACGTGTGGCCAGCTGCGTACAACAATCTTCCCTTCAAAGACTCAAGTCGCGAACGAGGTGCCGACGAACCCAAAAGGCCGGTCAGTTCTTCCACTTGTTCCTGTATTTGCTTCAATCGCGATTCTTTGTTTGACACCTTGATGGCGTTGTCGCTAGCATCAGGCAGGGTCACAACTGCGCCCTTTCGTTTGTCTTCGCCCATTGATATGCTCCAACCCAAAAGTTCCAAGGCTGTCTCGGCTGTCACCCATGCTGACTGCCTCAAAAGGCCAACTTCAAGTTGACAGAAATCGTCAAAGAAATTTGTGACAACCAGTTTGAAAATCTTTGAGAGGATCACCCGTATTGCACGGGCTGCACGATTGAACGCCAACACCGAGCTCACAGATCCAAACGGCAATGCTATCGCTTCGAAGTAGTAGACCTGGGAGTCATGGGGGCAAGCTACAGCAAGAATTGAAGCCCATGAATCCTTTGGGTGTCTCACAAGCTGCTTGTATGCCTGGCGCAAATCCAGGCACCTTCCATAGAGATCTCGGGCTTCACACCCTTTCCAAAAGTTCGACATGCGGCCACTAAATGTACCACCTTCATGAGGAAGCTGCCATTCACAACCAGACGCAGAGGCACCTAGGAAAAACCTTGCAGTCGCACAAATGCTGTCAATACCCTCCAGGTCGATCTTTTCATGACATGTCACCGTTGCATTGACCAAGAACTGCGAAAAGTCATCCACAGGACGAATTTTGCCGCCTTGCCTAACTCCAAAGCGACGCGATGGGATCCATTCGTCCCCATTTCTTTTGGAGATCTCTGCAGCTGAAAAAGGGCCCTTCACCCACTGCTTTTCAAAACTGGCTTGATCCATTGTTTCATTCCAAACTGCTTCAGCAATCTCGCGGTCTAGTAAAACCTTCCTGCAAGAGGCCACAACTGCCTTTTGAGCCCATGAAGCGGTCTGTCTCAACTGTTCAACTCCTAAGGCAGCGGGTTTGAATTGTTGTTGAAATTGGCCTGACGGGGCCAGATCCCCCACCAAACGGAAACCATTGCAAAGCTCTCCAAACAAGCCCTCATCTTTGATTCCTGCATCTTGAAGCATCTCCCGGAAAAGGAGAAGTCTTTTGGACTTCATGACGGGTCGGATAGATTCATCCATCCTTTGGTGCAACTCCATTTCTTCCAGTTGTAATTCTTTTGCGCGTTTCAGGTAATGCCTGAGCTTTGCTGCTCTGTGCTCAGCCACTTTCGCTGGTCCGTTTTCCAAAAGAAAAGAAATGGCAGACATGTTGGCCTCGTTCAAAGGCAAGGGGATGTCAAAAGGGTGCCTGATCCCTTGCACTCTCTGTATAAACTCAGACGGGGAAAAAACAACCCCATATGTCACCAGCAGACGGCCCTGATCCCCCCTTTTATCATCAAAAACCGGCTGCACATCCAGTCTCTTTGAGCCCACTGGAATGCCCTGCCAAGGGGGCTTTGCATCGTCGGGAATGACGCTGGGCGGTTCTTCTCCCTGCTGGCAAGAAACGCAAACCTTGGTTTTGAACTCAGAAAGAAGAAGAGGTCCTCGTGTCCTCCTCGGCTGTGCTTCTGCTGAAATTTTAACTGCATGGTCATCCAAAGATTCTTGTAATTGGACATCGCCTCGTGACTGCAACTCGTCAATGAAAGCTGCTGCCAGCTCTCTGGCTAGTTTCAACGGGTTTTCAGCCTCCTTTGCAGTATCAAAGGACCAATCTCCATTGTCAAGCTTCTTGATTTTCCAAGCGCTATGCTCATGATCGCCCCTACACCTTTGTAACAACCTTGAAGCCTTGAAATTTGCAAGAAACGCAGTTGCTTTCTTATGCTGAGAGCCATACTCGCAGGCATCCACAACATGCAGTTGAAACTTCTCCACCAAAGGACGAAAAAATGGAGTCTCCCACATCAAAGAGTTCAGAGGATTTTCAATCGTAAATAAAACATCGTTCTCATCACACAGCCAAGCAAGTCGGGAAGAAAGTTCGTACAGTGCATTTGCCGCCTGAACCTTCACTTTGTTCAGGCCTTTCAACCATGGAAAACCAAGAGGGTGCTCACTGCTTCGCAATGGTTGAGGGTTCGGTGCACCCTTGGCTCTAAGTTTTCTCTTTATTGGGATGTTTCTTGCCCTCGATGCTGTCCCACATGGTGGACCCAGGTGTACTGCTGCAACTCTTTTCAACTTGATCTCACGTTCCCACCTTTGTGTCAGGTCCAATTTGACCGTTGCTGCTTTCAGCTTCGACCTCTTCAAATGGTGATCTATGCCAAGTGCTCTGCCACCTAAAGTTCTGAACTGTGCGCAAACTCCTGCTGTGCCACAAAAAAGCTCAAGCAAAAAGGGAGGCGGCTTTCCGCCAATTTGGCCACCAGTAGAACCTTCGTTCTCTGATGCAGCAACGGGACTCTCCCGAGGGCATGCGTCAGCCGCTTCAGGCTGACTATAAAAGCTTGTCACCCGTCCTTCGACTGGTGCTTGAAGGGATACAGGTTTTTCCTGGATCACATCCTCTTTAGGAAAATTTTCAGAGGCCACTGCGGTCCCTGACATTGGCGTCGACTTCTCGACCTGTACAACCCTTCGGCCTGCACCACAGATCAATGACTCCTGGCTGCAGAGTCAATTTGACTTGTCATGGTTCACAAAGTTGTGAGTCGTCGAGAAACACCCCGGCTTGCAGCAGATGTGCCTCCCTTTCTTGCAATTTCGACCATGGCAAGACCCCAAATTGTAACCATAGCAAATAGATCTCCCCTCTGCGTCGACAGGGGTGCCACCTCTGAGTTGAACTGGCATAGGAGTCTTGGCCAATTTTTTGCTCTTCAACTTGTCAAACCGTCCACCTTTGCCTTTGCCTGTCTTGTCAGGAGAATCCCAAGGCCTCTTAGTTGGCTTGTTGTTTGTAGGAGCCGTGGAATTGCTCTTCTCTGAAGCCGCTGTCTTCGGTTTAGGCATGAGGAGCCACATGACTGAAGGCAATGCCAGCACTGCATCCAAGTGCTGGTCCAAAGGCAACTCGCCCCCAGGGCCCAAAGGGAGCCCCGCCCTGGTTTTCTCTGCCAGCTTGACATGTACTTCTCTGTCAGCTGAGGCCAACTGACTCATAGTCGGCTTTTTGAAGCCGTCTGGAGGATCTCTCTGCAACTCTGCGAAAAGAAGGTTGATCAAGGATTCGTGCTTCTCGTAGCTCATGAGGTGTGCCAGCTCATATGCTGCTCCCCTACGCTTGAGGGCATTGAAGACATCAAGTTCTGTTGAGATGTCGCACTTCATTGCTACATCCGCTTCGGTCTGCTTGATGTTCCCTGAGGCATCTGCTTTCCAAACTTTCATGTTTCCATCCTCCTTGATGTTGTTCAATTCTGCTGTCCGACTGGTGCATTTCGACCACTCAATGTACCTCAAGCGCCCATCTTCCGTGCACTGAGCCATGCTGTTGATAAGTGCATGACTCGGTTCAAGCACGCTCTCAATCTTCAGGGGCTGTAGTTTCTTCTCTAAGGTTGCAAAGCGGGTTGCAATCTCTTGGACCGGCAATTTCTTTGGCCCGTCGCTCTCTGTGTTGTCAGCCTTGCGCTTCAACTCAGTTGCAGTCAAAGTATAGCTCTCGAAAAGGAGCCTTCTCAGTAATGCCGCATCACCACTGTCAGCACTACCCAGTATTGGGATTGCAACCTTGTCGTCGAAGTCCTTGTCTGTCAGTTGACTAGGGTTAGTCGACACTGAAAAGGCGTAACTTCCAAATGTGGTCCAGCCCTTTTGTTTAAGAGCCTGGTAGGCATCATCTGACAGTTTAACTTCGTTGCATCTCGCTCTGAACACGCTTTCACTGTCGACATATGACATCGCTGCAAAGGAGATGAAGCTGGAAGTTGAACTCAAAAGAAAACAAACTGCACATGCTTACAGGCTAACATGATAGTCGGCAATTTCCTCAAACTCCAAACAAGTGAGAAACAAATGACATGACACATCCATGCAACTTGTCTGAGTTGACAAAGAGGTTCCTTAACCTCTTGCAGGACACTTGAGTCCCCAAACTCACACGAAAGAAAAATGAGCTCACTCACAACGGTTTCTTGAAACCTTGAATCAAAACTTTGAGATAGAACCTGAAAACCTTGCAGCCTACGCACAAGAATCGCTGATCGTCCTACACTCTTGCAAGACAGGTCGTTGTGAAGGCAAGTGAATTCACGCACAATCAAAAATGCACACTCGAGTGACTCAACACCTTTACCTTGCCTCACATCTTCAAAAAAAAAACTGAACACATGAAATCCAAATGTTTCATGGTGAGGGCTCGCTTAAAGGGTCTTCAGAATGGACCCCCCCAAGATTGCCCCGAAACCTCCAAAACTCAGCTTTTGGGGCTGTTTTCCAGGACTTCGTGGGGTCCATCTTGGGGAGGCCGAACGACAGGAAATTGGGCAGCTGAGTGCATTGATCCAGTTGTTGAGAATAGTCACATTTGGGACGCGTATGTTTTGGACTGCAATGCAAAGCTCCGGACTGTACAGACCTAGCCATCTTGGTCTGAGTCGTCGTCTGCTGGACGGTCGCTCCATCCAAAACATGTCATACATCCATGAAGTGAAAAGGCAGGGACATGCGACAAACTCTCATAGTTCTCATTGCACTTTCTGCCACACTTGAAGTACTGAACTCCATAAAGTGTCTTTCCAACAAAATGCAACTTGCCTGATTTCAGATGTTTGAAGCACTGTTTGCCGGACAAATCTGAGGGGGCTACCAAATCCTTTGCGTTCAGCTCCCCGTCCAGCTCAATTTTGCGATCTACTTCATCTGAGGCACTGTCACTGTCGACAGATGACAAATTTGAATGTTCTCCATCACTCATATCGCTCACATCTGAATCAGCTTTAAAAGAACTGAGACTTGACTGCAACTGTTTTCTCAAAGCCAGCCGTTTCAAAGTTTCTAAGGTCGTGTCATCTTCGAAGCCAGTCAGCTCCTCTGTGTTCGGCTCTCCATGAACTGGCTCATCGACACCCTTTTTCAGGCTGGACTCAAGGCTCATCAAAGAAGACTTGAAGGGCACGACATGTGAAGAAACTGCACCAAACAAAGAATTCTCATCTGCTGCAAGTTTCACTGCTTCTTCTAGGGTCTGAGCACCACGCCACCTCTTGGCTCTGGACACGTCTGGCCGAAATGCATCTACCCTGATCGCAATGAAGAGAGCTTCAATCTGACGAAGCACAGGAGCAGCAGCATCTCTCGAATACTCTAAGGCACTTTTGTCACCTGGCTGAACATGGTAACCTGCCAACCTTCTCAGGGAAATTTCAATGTTTGCTTTTGACATCCATGACAAAATAGTTGCCTTTGCAGAATGCGTTGCAATGTCTCTCACAGGCCCTGACGTCCATGGTTGAAGAATCTCTCTGAGCCACAAGCTAGCCTCTGAAGATGATAGCGGGTGACTTGACCACCCACCGTTGGCCAAAGGTGCAGGCATCGTTGGCTGACTCATTGATGCACGAAGCCCCAAGTCTGCACGTTTCTGTAACCAGCATGAGGCCCAATCATACCCTGAAATGCCTGGGATGACCCCTGCCACTGGGAGAAGGCGCATCACATTCGTCCTTCGTTTAAAGGCAGTCTTGTGATGGTATAGAGCAGCTTCGATGAAACCCTTCCCTGAATCCAGGTCGATCACAGGTTCCTTAATGCAATGCTGTCCATCTGACCACCTCAACCTACAGTGGACAAGGAAACAAATATACCCTGAAAAAATCGCTTGCTGTCCATGCCCAAACATTGCCAAGCGCTCCAGCACCAAAACCTGCTCCACTGTCAGAGGAGACTTCTTTTTGACAGCGTTCCATCTGCCATCCACTGCAGCTCCTCTGACCCTGGCAGAGTTGAGAATACTGTCAACGTCAGCTCCAAGTAAACCCGTCGAAAAACCAAGAGCTTCCAAAAACCTTTTCCCTTTTGAAGGGGCAGCATTCATTCGACGGAGGTCATGCAAATAGTCGTAAGCCATCGCTTTTGTAACTGGGAAAATTCCAGATGAAGGTTCATCCAGTGCAGTCTTCTTCCAGCGCCCAAAAGCCAAGAGCGACGCTGATCGAGATTTGAGTGTAGCTGTAGACTTGTTTGCAAATGCGTCTCTCACCACTTGCCATACATAATCTTCACTCTTACCCAGCTCGATAGAATGCATCAAAATCTTACCCAGGTCAGTAAATGAGGTGCTATCCAAAACAATAACCCTCCAACACTGAAGTGCAGCATTCAACTTCTTGTCCTCCGATGCCACCCATGAGACCTCCGACAGGTGGACCTTGGCATTGAACCTGTCAAGGCGTGCGGGTCGACTTACAGCCTCTTTCTGATTGAAAAGCTGGACAGGAAATTCCACCCAAGTAGGAGGTTTGATCACGGAATTTTTTGTACTGCCAACCAGTGAATCATACTGAGAGCCTTCCCAAGGCAGTGATAACCGTAGTCGTTTCGATCCCAATTCTCTGGCACAAGCATCGATGAACTCTGTTGTCAATCCACACATAGCAAGTGCAGAAACCAGCAACAAACTATTCCATTGCATACCTAGACCCCGCTTTCGCGGTCACAAAACGACAAACGGTCCCACCCACCCACCACTCTTGAGGCGAGCGCGGGAGACACATAAGATTAAAATGTGATCAAACAAAAAACCAACTGAACATGCACTGTTGCAAGTTTAATGCCAAAAAAATAAGTGGCATTTTTTGTTTGATTGTTTCAGTGTTTCAAATGTCTGGGCAAGCGTTTGACACAACAAACGACAAAGACAGTGTCAGACTAAACCGACAAACAGTCAGACAAGGGCCGCAAGACAAGGAAACACTGCCACTGAAATATTTAAACAGTACTGCGCCCAGTATCACGCAAGATACGCGGAGGGCGAGAGAAGAGGAGAACTTTTGCAGTCACTTAAGACTGCAAGAGAGGAGGTAAGCGCGCAACCATTTGGACACAACCAAAGGTTAAGACTCACTTCATTTTCGATAAAGCCATATCACCTTCGGTGAAATAAACCTTCTGGCCCTGGAGGCCTTACCCCCTGCAGGCTGCGCTGCAAGGAGCCTCTCACTGAATGCACTGGCCTGGGAAAGCCGCTCTGCTGCAGCACGAGTCCCCTTCCGGCCCTGGACAGGGATATGGCCCACGACTTAACATTTCAAATGCCCGGAATGCTCATACACCTCCCCTTGCACATCCATCAACAGACCACTGTTATTCTCTTACATCCTTGACACTGTCAGACACAACGAACTGCGTTGCAATGGCCCGCCCACCCGCCTGAGCCTCAACATCGAGCTCCTGGCTCTGGAGCTCCCGCACCATCGCCACAGCTGCCAACGCAGCATGCGCTGCACGAAGCTCTTCCAGAGTTCCATAGGCATCCGCCCGAACGCGATACCCTTGGGACAGGGGAATCGTCCTCCGCCACAAAATCCCCGGTGTGACAGCGGCCCCGACATAAACCCATTACCACGCACACAGGCCCTGTCACAGACATGTGCACCCTATCTAATATCTAGCCGCTCCCCCTACTGAAATTACGGCTTTCATATAGCACTTCATTCAAACGCACATAAAGCTATATATAAGCGTCTACCTGTCCGCAAAACCCTTCTCCCCCACAACACTGTGAGCCCACCAGTTGCTGCTTCAATTCCTGCAGACCCTGGAGCATGCCCACTCTACAGCAAAACCTACACAACTCAACCCACGTGAGTGTGTATTTTACGCCCCTGAACCTTAGATTGCCCATGCCCTGCTAAATTCACCAAGGCACGCCAAATCTAATCCCGCAGAAGGGCTTGAGCCGCCCGACGCCCGTCCGGAACTCATGCTTCGGGGATGGCCCCTGCAATGACTGCCCAGGCCCGAAATCCGGCTTCTCCACCAGAGCCCGACATGTGATGCTGGCAATTTCTGAGTTTCAGCAGCCCAAATTGCATGGAGCCATTTCTACAACTTAGACTCTCAAGGATAACCCTTATAACAATGGACCTTTACAGCGCGCCCTTTTCTGCTGAGAAGTTGGCGATTTTTTTGTCAAAAAGGGCGCGCCAAAAATTCCCGTTTCAAGCACTTCAACACTCTAGGGCGTCTCATTGGCCATAGCAAGAGGGCGCCAAAGACACAAAGGGAACCAAGAAATTCGATGCTTTCTCACCAGAAGTTACCACAATCCGCTTTTCTCCGGGGCTCGATTGCTAACCTATCCCCACGTCGCTGGGTAAAGAGCGATCTGTGTTTGGTGACTACCAGCCTCGGCCCATGCTCAACACTTGTCGTGTCCCCGAACAAGAAGGGGTTAAACTACCATGAGGGGCCACATGTTTGTTGGATATTGGTCAACCGCAACCCTCAAACCAACGTTTTTGATGGCGCCTTTTTGGAATGCCAATTCTTGCCATAGGATTTACAAGTGGAAAATTGACCCATGCGGAAAAAACCATTGGGTATTATCACCATGAACCGGAACTCACGCCTGCCTCCCCAAATGCACACTCCCAAAAACAGCAATCAGCAACGCACAGACCCCGTTGCCGCCGCTGTGCCCCTCACCTGGACATCTTCCATGACGCCGCGAACCAAGGTCTCGGCCATCTTGCCTCAGAGACATCAGCCATAAGCGTGCCCCATCACAAGATCCCAACACAAAGCGACAAATGCTTATCATCCCAACGCAATGAACCTACATACAGCCCCTCTAAAACCCTGCTTGGGGCTTCCACGACACCAGCAAATCACAACCGAGACAAGCTTTCTGAAACAAAACCAGCCAATTGCTACTTGGTCCCTTGCTGTACTCCTGCCAGTATCCGGAGACGTCCGGGAAGGCAGTACCCCGAACAACCCGAACAAAGACACGTTCGGGTAACGTCAATCTGCTCATACAAAACAGCTGCCGTTTCACACTGCATGTTCCTGGCCCACCCACCCCACCCCAACCTCGAACCATTCTAACCAAGCTGCAGAACCACGCCGAGGGATCTTCTACGCCAGCCACAATATGATCCTGAGCACAATAAGCGGCAGATCCACGCTCCCGAGCATCCACCCCACCCACAAACACCAAACCTCCCCAAGAAGAAAAGCACTAGAGAACACATTGCAAAAACTACCGTGTCTCATCGAGGTAAACAGCTGCTGTCTTGAATTCACTTCCTGTGGCTTAGCTGCTCCCCTCCACCGTCGTCAGACCCACTGCATCAGCATGCCAAGTAGCTGCCATCTTCCGATCCAGGCCACGCTCCTCCACCACATTGCGGAGCTGATGGCGAGCCGCGTCGCTGAAACCGAACCTGGCTGAAGCCGTGGCAACTGTCATCCTGGCTGCTTCATTTCATCCCCCCTATACAACTCTACACCGAACCCTCCTCCGCCTTATCATGCCACACCATCATCTAGGCTATACTCCAACCCAATCACACAAGCCCCAACTCACTTCCTATCCACTATCACACAACCTCACCCCTACTTCTGCTCGGGAGCTTGGACATGATCCTTTCCGCCACTGCAAGATCAGGCACCGCTTCAGGACCGCCCTGCGTACATGTTCTGGGATGGTTTGCCAGAGATGCCCCCTGACTTGGATGATTTCGGGCACCCCCATGTCAGGAAACCTCAATAATAACCGTGTGGTGAAAGTCCCAACGTATCTCAAGAGTGGCTGGCACCAGTGTACCATTGGTAGGCTTGAATGGGATATTATGACACTCCTGGATCTATCCATCTGTCTATCTATCAATCTGTCTATCTTTCTATCTATCTATCCATCGATCCATCTATCTATCTGTCTATCTGTCTATTTGTATACAAACCGCCCCAGCATACCCATTTACATGCCTACAGGCTCCAAGGCCTTTACAGCGCGCCCTTTTCTGTTAAGAAATTGGTGACTTTTTGTATCAAAAAGGGCGCGCCCAGGTTCCCATTTCAGGCCCTTCAACACTCTAGGACACCTCATTGGCCATAGCAAGAGGGCACCAAAAACACAAAATGAACCAATTCAGGGGGATCAGGTTGCATTCGATGTCAGCTTCTACCATCGTTCCATTTATTTGCTTGCACACCAGCGGACCACCGCACATCAATCAACTTCTCAACCAATCGAGAAGCGACGGCATCCGTGTCAACGCAATGGGTTAGATGCTGATGCAACAACCCCAGGTCCTGCCAGTGCAGCATCCAAGACAACCCTTCCAAATGATGCCCCCTGCTTTACCATGCAACTTCTACAGCCCATGGACAGTCAGGGCCTCTCCTTCATCGCTGCTTCGCCGGCGTCGTGCCTCTTCGACACCAAACGGCCGATCTGTTCAGACACCATCTTCCCCAAGCAAAACTTCTTCGTCAACTCCTGAGAGGTGCCGTCCCCGAATGTGCAATCCATCTTCCTTTCTGTGTCTCATGCAGCGAGGCTGCAGTGAGATCTGCGCACCATCCCACACAACCTGCAAACCAGTAAAAATGCCAGCATCTGCCTCCTCGAGAGACATGGTTCCAACCTGAAAGCGACTGCGCCATTGCGTCCAAGCCCATGACTGCACAAACTCTGGTCCAACACCAGAAGAGGACTTCCACGCAAAAAACTGACGCAAATCGTCCCGATAAGAGACGTCCAAAAGTAAAAAGTTGCATCCGGAAAGGTGCAACAAAGTACATTTAGTGTTTGGTATCGGGACACTTTCAGCAGCCCTGGGCACATCGTGGACCTCACGATGCCACTTCCATAGGCGCAACAGCGCGGAGCTCAGAGCATCTCCCTGAGGAGCCCCGTGCTGCTCGCGGCCTAGCCAACCACCGATGCTGACATGGTTTGCGCCTGCAAAGGCGCAAAGAACGATGCGAATGGAGGCAACATCTAAACAAGTCCACCCAGGGTCATCACATCGACCAAGGATGCCACGACAACCAAGCCGTTTATGAGGGACGCTAACCGCAAAAACGTGCTGCGCCTCCCAATAACCAGCCAAATCATCCCACATGTCAGCAAAATGCTCACAGGGCAAGTGCCTAAAAAAACAATCAGTCATGTCAGCCGCAACGGCACAACCAATATCAAATTGATAGTGCCGCACTTGGGAATTGAAATCAGAAACTAAAGAAACAATTTCACCCATGGAGAGATAATCACTCCACAGGTGCGTCGGAAAAGCATCCAAAAGAACATCTAGAGCACGGGAGACAAGCGAGTGAAGCCCACAACAAGGTGTGAAATGCTTATTTACAATGAGCCTCCATTTCAGTCCGGGGCATTTCCACTTCGGGAGGAACGACACGGTTGCAATGTTCCATAGCTTCTTGGAAACTACGGAGTGCAGAGCAGGCCGCAAATGGTGGGGGAGACCGGGTATGTGGGCCATTTCACCCAAAACATGCCACCGGGAGCCAACGTCGCTCTTTGACCAAGCAAAATTGGCTTCAGTGGATGCAAGAAATCCAGCAACTTACAAGCATGCTCAAATACCAATTTTGGGCAAAAAGCCCCAAGAGAAGAAAGGTTATGATCAAAAACAGAAACAAAAAGACCATGCGATTTCAACCAGGCACGCGCAGCTTCTGCGTGCGCCCAGGTGATAGGGACCTTCAAATCTTTGACATGGAGGGCCCAAAGCTGAGAAACACAAGTCTGAATGGCATCAACTGTACAAGCATCACTGATAGACACACGGCATCTGTCACGGAGACGCCGAAAACATTTACGAATAGCGCTAACAACATCCTCATATCGAGGAGGGAGGCAAATGGTAGCAGGCCACCTAGCCAGGTGTTGAAGCTGTTCAGGCCAAGGCACACAACCCTGCGAAGAAGCAATGTGCTCACAGCCTCCAAAAGAAACAACAGGCCAGCCAGGGTATTTTAACCACACCACCTCACAAGGGCAAGAGGGACACACTCCCTCCTCAAGCGCTTTGCGCAGTAAAGATGTGTCAGACAAAATAGAAGCCAGCGATGGCGAGGCTGACCAGGAAACAAAACATTTTGCATGCCGCGCAACAGGCACCCAAAGCCCTTTCTGACGCCACGCAGAAAGAAGCCCACGAATTGCTGTACGAACAATAGATCAGACCCGACCCAAGGGACTGAAAACACAACCCAGGACACAAAAGGGCAAAGATCCCGCCGTTTTTTGGAGATCACGCCAAGTAAACGAAGGCCCCTTTTCCGACGCCAACCTTCTTCACATTGGTCGATGCAACGGGCCACATATGCCCAAGCTCCCGGACTCAAATTCCAGGCTGCAAGGGCGGATGCATTGGAATGCTCAAAACGGTGGCCTGCCAATGCCGAAGCAATTTTCTTCGAGCCATCACGCCACTCTTTTCGAATGAGCCCCAAAGACAAAGGAACATTCTTTTGTGGGAAACCATCCTGTGGAGGGCGGAGTCTACACAGAGGACGATGAGAATCAAAAATGCGCATCCCGGGCAATTGCCGTTGCTTTCCTTTTTGCGGCGAGCTGTACACTCTTGGAGGGTTCAAAGTGCCAATCGAATGGCAAAGTGCACTTTCTGCCAGCAACCTCTCGCCCGTATCGGCAGAAGCGGCGCAGACGGGAACCATCATTAAAATACTAAGGGCGGCAAGCAACTGAGGCCCTTGGGAACAGCTGCGCCGGACAACCTTATAGAATGGTTGCTGGGTCGCACCATCATGGGCAATGATACGAAGAAAATGCTCAACCATGCGACGACGAAAAAGGATGGTTTCACCAACGTAAAACAAAGGCCCATGACATGAACACTGTACAGGATACGGAAAAATGACATACAAACATGGTGCCTGTTCAAGGCGCTGCCATCCAAACACCCACGGATCAGTTCCAAACAAACGCAACAAACGCAAAATTCTCTTAGAGGGAACTGTTTGCAAAAGCATCAGCCAAAGACTCCCTGCAAGATTGAGCAACAGAAACTGATCATTCCAAGAACGGCGTGAAACTAGAAAAACACGAAACCGCAGAAGCAGGATGACATCTAGGGCAGCTCTCAAGGCAGCACTCAGTTCAGGATCTCCCGGGATCAAGCGAAGTCATGCCGGCCGGCGCACGATATCCAAAGCGCGCAGGCGGGCCAGCAACGTAGCCATACTCTCATCAGGGCTCACATTCAAGGCATCACAGAGCTTGTTGAGAGAAGAGTTGTCCTTCGACTTGACCCCCAGCTGGGGATGATGCCATGCAACTTGCGCAGGTAGATTTGGCAAACAATTTGGTATAACTCACTCATGGCCTCAAGCGGGGACAGGGCAGCAAGAGCTTTGGAGGCAGTGGTCTTGCGACCTGCCACACGATGGCTCTCGCAATCCAACTCAAAATTGGCCATGGTCAAGTTGGCAGTGTCAGTATCAACACGCCTCTTGACCCAGGAAGAGAAATCGGGGTTGGCATCCCCAGGGGCTTTTGCAGGGGAACCCAAAGCCAAAGCTTTCAAAGAGTCCATGGGAGCAACAGCTGCCCGTGGAGGGCTAGATGCCAATGGCAAACCAGCGCTCTCACCCAAATCCCCACTTGCCCACTCAATGTCCCTGGCAGTTGGGGGAGAGCGGGGCTTTTCTGGTCAGGAATCAAGATGCTTCAAGACATTCTTCCATTTGGCAGGGTCACTCGTGGAGAGCGGAATCCGATGAAAAACATCCCAAAAATGCCTCTCCGTGATACGGGACATCGAGACAACTTTCATTGAATCCTCTTGGTAAAACGGTGCCGCCTGCGGCGTTGCCAAAGCCCTGATGCGTTCACGGCGCAAATCATTGATACGCTGGCACATGCCCATCCTGGTCTCCTTGTCAGAAATGGATTTCACATCTGTGATGACGTCATCAGGACATTCGAAAGCAACACTACGAAGGTCAGCAGGCAAACCATTGAAAACCCTCTTGAAATCAGATCGAGACATCTGAGCAAGCACTGCGGCCACATCCTCATGCCGGGATCGTCTAGGTGATCGAGACCTCCCAAAATCATGACCACTATGGTGGGGCATATGCCCAGGAGTCCACACCCCAGGAGGAATGATTTGAGGCGCGAGACCTCCAAAATAGCCACCATTCATCTGAGGATATTGGACAAACGAGTGAGGACACCACGTGGAGGCGGCGGGGGCGGCAAATTGGAGCTCTGCCCACAATGCATATCTACCAGGAAAGTCACGTTCAATGAGAGCAGATGGAGCACCAAAATCTTACGGCAATCACAAAGAAACAAATCCGGTCAAGGCAAAAAACAAAAAAAAGGAAAAAACCATAAATCCAGAGAGATGTGAAATCAATGTCAGACAAATCCCATGAAACTGCGAAAGACATGCCAGGCGCACCTCATCATCTCAGGGGCTCAGCCAAGAGAATCACAGAAATTGAAAATCTGTCCGAAAAACAAAAATACACCAGGACCTAGAGGGTAAAATTACTTTACTTCGTGTGATCCCCACCATGTCATTTTTACGTTTTGTTACTGGCAAATCTTCTGACATTCTATCTGGCATATCTTCTGGCATTCTATCTGGCATATCTTCTGGCATTCTATTCGGCATTCTATCTGGCATATCTTTTGGCATATCTTCTGACATCCTATCTGGCATTCTATCTGGCAAACATTCTGGCCCTTTATCTGGCATACCTTCTGGCACTTGATCTGGCATTCTATCTGGCATATCTTCTGGCATTTTATCTGGCATATCTTCTGGCATTCTATCTGACATTCTATTTGGCATATCTTCTGACATCCTATCTGGCATATCTTCTGGCAAATCTGGCATTCTATCTGGCCTATCTTCTGGCATTCTATCTGGCATATCTTCTGGCATTCTATCTGACATATCTTCTGGCATTCGATCTGACATGCTATCTGGCATATCTTCCTACATGAGGTCCGGCAGGGAACACTTGGCGTGGATACTCGCGGTTGAGGTCCGGCAGGGAACACTGGGCGTGGATGGTCGTGGTTGAGGTCCGGCAGGGAACACTGGGCGGGGATGGTCGTGGTTGAGGTCCGGCAGGGAACACTGGGCGTGGATGGTTGTGGTTGAGGTCCGGCAGGGCACACTGAGCGTGGATGGTCGTGGTTGAGGTCCGGCAGGGCACACTGAGCGTGGATCGCGGTTGAGCAGGAGGAGGAGGAGAGGAGAGGAGGAGAGGAGAGGAGGAGAGGAGGAGCAGGCAACTGACATAAAATCTAACAACCCTCACCTGGCAGGTGGGGAAAAACACACAAGAAGACACTACTGATCACATAACCTCCTCCTGCTGAATTCTTCTATGATGGTGTCCATCCTGCCTCTGGCCCGCGATCGAGTAGATGAGGGCTCAAATGCTCCAACCAATGCTCCGATGTCACATATCCACCATGCCACCATAGCTGTGATACACAACAGAAACCCTGTGTGATGTTGACTGTCTCAAGCATCAATCCAGCATGAGATCCCTTCAAGTAATTTGTAGTAACTTGCTGTAAGATGTTGCCTGTCTCAAGCGTCTTTGCAAACAGCTCCAAAGGTACAGAAATGGAAATGTCTCTGTCCACCCCAGTGACTCTGTCATCTGTTCAAACTGATTGCTTCAAACTTTGCCACCCGCAAAGTAAGAAGTGGCATTGCCCCGATCACACTACCACACACGCGCGAGTTTGCAAATAATATATAACATACTTGTCTGACATTCTTTCTAACTTTCTTCTGCACATTCTTTGTCCCATATCTTCCTACATGAGGTCCGGCAGGGAACACTTGGCGTGGATACTCGCGGTTGAGGTCCGGCAGGGAACACTGGGCGTGGATGGTCGTGGTTGAGGTCCGGCAGGGAACACTGGGCGTGGATGGTCATGGTTGAGGTTTGGCAGGGCACACTGACGTGGATGGTCGTGGTTGAGGTCCGGCAGAGAACACTGTGGATCGCGGGTCGCAGTTGGACGAGGAGGACGAGGAGGACGACGAGGAGGAGGACGAGGAGGAGAGGAGGAGGAGAGGAGGAGGAGAGGAGGAGAGGAGGAGAGGAGGAGAGGACGAGAGGAGGAGGAGCAGGCAACTGACATAAAATCTAACAACCCTCACCTGGCAGGTGGGGAAAAAAATGCAAATGAGTCATTGTCCCGTAAAGAACACCCACAGGTCGCTGCTGTTCGAACGAATCCTTTTTGTGTCTCGCTTTTTTCCACCGATATGCTCAGCCATATCGAGCCAAAAGAAACGCGCTATCAGCCCAATGCAAGGGAATATACATACAAATATGTTTATACGAGGAAGAAACACATCACAAAGATTAGAAAAAACACAGCCTACAGAGCGGGATGGGTCAGCCACAGACCCGGACATAGGGATACACTGCCACGACATAGGCAGAAAAAGCCTACACCAGGACCATTCCTGGGGTCCCAGAAGATCACACATAGCAGTCTGGGCACAGGCAAACAAAACATGATGAAAGAAACATTTTCAAAAACATATAGTGAGAGGTACAAGATACATTCTGTACCATTCTACCGGGGTTTCGTCAAGACTATTACTGCTGCGCGTCCACATACCATGCGTGGAACAATATGGGACATTGCTCATCAGGTACCAGCACTTTGCGCAACACAGGTCAAATCTTGGGTCTTGGGCTGGCACGAGCCCAGAAGAATAAAGACAACTAAGACGTTGCAGAAGGCATCGCGGCAGATCATCAGCCACAAACATCAAAAGACCCGAGATGCCGCGGCACGTCATCCGCGACAAGCGAATATACCAAGTATAAATATAAATACAAACAGCATAGACACAATAATGCTAATAGATGAACGGCGCAAAATAGATGCGACCAAGCCCCTGAGGATAGCACCTGGCAGGCAAAGTGCGACATCATAAAAAAACAAAAAACAATTACTTTACTTCGTGTGATCCCAACCATGACATTTATACATTTTCTTACTGGCAAATCTTCTGGCATTCTATCTGACATATCTTCTGACATTCTATTTGGCATTCTATCTGGCATATCTTCTGGCATATGATCTGGCATATCTTCTGGCATATCTTCTGGCATTCTATCTGGCAAATCTTCTGGCATTCTATCTGGCATATCTTCTGGCATTCTATCTGACATATCTTCTGGCATTCTATCTGGCATATCTTCTGGCATATATTCTGACATATCTTCTGGCATTCTATCTGACATATCTTCTGGCATATCTTATCTTCTGGCATATCTTCTGGCATATCTTCTGGCATATCTTCTGACATATCTATCTGGCATATCTTCTGGCATATTTTCTGGCATTCTATCTGGCAAATCTTCTGGCATTCTATCTGGCATATCTTCTGGCATATCTGGCATATCTTCTGGCATTCTATCTGGCATTCTTCTGGCATATATTCTGACATATCTTCTGGCATTCTATCTGACATATCTTCTGGCATATATTCTGACATATCTTCTGGCATATCTTCTGGCATATCTTCTGGCATATCTTCTGATCTATCTGGCATATCTTCTGGCATATTTTCTGGCATTCTATCTGGCAAATCTTCTGGCATTCTATCTGGCATATCTTATCTGGCATATTATCTGGCATATCTTCTGGCATTCTATCTGGCATTCTATCTGGCATTCTGGCATTCTGGCATTCTATCTGGCATATCTTCTGGCATTCTATCTGCATTCTGGCATATCTTCTGGCATTCTTCTCTTTCTGTTCATATCTTCCTACATGAGGTCCGGCAGGGAACACACTTGGCGTGGATACTCGCGGTTGAGGTCCGGCAGGGAACACTGGGCGTGGATGGTCGTGGTTGAGGTCCGGCAGGGAACATTGGGCGTGGATGGTCGTGGTTGAGGTCCGGCAGGGAACACTGGGCGTGGATGGTCGTGGTTGAGGTCCGGCAGAGAACACTGTGGATCGCGGGTCGCAGTTGAGCAAGGACGACGAGGACGACGAGGAGGGCGAGGAGGAGGAGGAGAGGAGGACGAGGCAGGAGGAGGCGGAGGAGGAGGAGGAGAAGGAGGAGGAGGAGGAGGCAACTGACATAAAATCTAACAACCCTCACCTGGCAGGTGGGGAAAAAGGTTGGTGGGAGCCAAACCCCTCAGCCAACCATCCCCCTGTATTGAACACATTTTACCTATGCCATCAGGAAGCCACGTTCAGAACATTCAAACGTGACAGGGAGCCTTCAAATCGCAAAATAGCAACACTTACATCATCAAAAAGAGTGGATATTGGGAACAGCGCACCCTTCGGCACCCAAGTACGTGCCCAAGGCATTCTGTCTTGCAGGAACAATTCCGGACACCATAGCAAAACTTGCGGATTCAGTTTGGCTTTTGTTGTATTAGTTTGCATTATGTTTGCATTTTTCTCTGCTTAATGTGCGGGGCTGCTTCACGTGTCATTAGATCCTGGAACCATGGAAAACTGTGGAACCCCAAACTTGGCCTCTTGCAACCTTGGAGCCTTGCTACCCTGCCTGGAAAGCGAGAGCTTTGCGAAACTGTAAAACTGTAGAGTTGACGCTTTACTGTGGATCATACTGATCATACTCTATCTTTTACAAACTGAAACAGCTTTGTGTTGTTGTTGATGAACCAAGACAAGACCCTTACAAGTCTGCAACCATCCCTGAAGCTTGGAACCTTGAACCCTGGAAACCTGGAACCCCAGAACCCTGGTAATCTAGAACTCTGGAACCTTGGAGAGTTCTGCAACCTTGCAATCCTGGAAACCTGCAACTGGGGAATCTTGGAACCCTGCAAAGCCTTAGAACCTAGCCCGATAACAGTGCAACCTTGGAACCCTGGAACCCGCTGTTGGGTTGCAAAGCTGGGTTAATACTCTTTAGAAATTCAAGAAACGTCCAATGAACTTCGCCGAGAGTCTGAAACAGCTGTTGTGGAAGTCTCACCAGCTGATTGCTCTGCAGCTGCAGATTTCGGAGTTTCCTGAAACCGTTGAAGAGGCCATGGGGTAACGTGGTGATCCGGTTGCCACCCAGGTTCAGCTTCAACAAGCTCCGCTTGAGCTTATGATCGTCGTAATCATCAAACACATCTGCATCAAGATTGGCCAGCTGATTCTGCTGCAGGTTCAACTCTTCCAAACAACTCAACCCCCGGAAGTCTCCGGAGTGAAGTCTCTGGAGCCTGTTGCCTTCCAACTTCAGGCTGCGAATCGAGAGATTGCAGCATAAAAACGATGCCGGAAGCGTCGACAACTCGTTCTCTGCGAGGTCGAGGATCTCCAATTTGCCCACGCCACTCTGAAAGACCTTTGGAGGCAATGCCGGCAATGCCTGCAACTTGTTGTGCGAGACGTCCAAGCTGGTGAGGTTTTCCAGGTCGAACAGCTTGGAATCCCATTTTCTGAGACTGTTGTGGCTCAAGTCGATCACTGACAAGTTCAATCTATCAAAAAGACCAGGAGGCAATTCTTCCAATGCATTCTGACTCAGGTTCAGCAACTTCAAAGAGCTCAAAGTCCTTGGCGGGTGCAAGCTGGGGCATGCAACCCCACCCACTTTCAATTTCTACATGGCAACCTTGCCAACCATCACGCAATTGGAAGGCGTTTGCACAACCTGCAGGAAATCTCTTATTTTCAAAAATGGGTCTAAAATCGAAACCTTTAAAAACTATGAATAAATCAACTCAATTCCCCAACACCTCAAGCTGTGACTATTTCTAGTCGCAATTCTCACAGGAAATTTTGAGCTTGCAAAAGACCTTACTCACTCCCTCGCGAACCTGGCGAAGCCAAGAAGTACAAAACGTGCGCTGTGGGCTATGGAAGTTGGAATCCGGAGTTTGGACGTCTTAAGGAAAAAGACATCAAAGATGAGGTTGTGGTTTATCCCTCAGAGAGGAATCAGTCTTGCAAAACATAGAAATTCATAGAAATTCGATGAATTTCGGACCTTTTCCGAAAAATAATGTCCTATGACAGTGTAAAATGGTCGGAAACTCTGGTTTGTTGAAGAAAAAAATGTGAATACTATGGGAAATGAGGTTGTGGTTGATTTCTTTCTGAAGAGTGACCCGTAAACGCCCATGAACTACGTGGAGAGTCTGAAACAGCTGTTGTGGAAGTCTCACCAGCTGATTGCTCTGCAGCTGCAGATTTCGGAGTTTCCTGAAACCGTTGAAGAGGCCGTTGGGTAACGTTGTGAGCCGGTTGCCACCCAGCTTGAGATCCAACAAGCTATAAAAGTCATCACCAAAAACATCTGCATCAAGATTGGCCAGCTGGTTCTGCTGCAGGTTCAGCTCTTCCAAGCGGTACAACCAGCGGAAGGGTCTGTCGCCAAGGCTCCGGAGCCGGTTGCCTCCCAGCCTCAGGCTACGAAGAGACGTAAGACCGTGAAAGGCACCCGACGGAAGCGTCACCAACTCGTTCTCCGCCAGGTCCAGGCTGCGAAGATCTTGAAGACCATCAAAGACGTTCCACGGCAAATCCTGCAACTTGTTGCGCGAGATGTCCAGGATGCAACTCGAACAGCGCCACCTAAAATCTCTAAAAGTGAGACCATGAAAGGTCTCTGGATGCAGTTGAGATAAATCATTGCTTTGTAGGGACAGTTGGTTGAGCTGCAGACCGTCAAAGATCTTTGGGGGCAATGCCTGCAACCTGTCCTGCGAGATGTTTAGGATGCATCTGGAACAGTACCGCTCAAAGGTGTGACCTTGAAAGGCTTCTGCATGTAGTTGGATAAGATTGTTGTCTTGTAGATAAAGTCTTTCCAGCTCAAGACCCTCAAAGATCTTGGAAGGCAACACCTGCAACTTGTTCTGCGACATGTCCAGGATGCCGTTCTGACCAAATGTGAGATTTTGAAAGGCGTCTGCATGCAACACCTGCAACTGGTTGTGCGAGATGTTCAGGATGCCATGGCGACCAATAGTGAGACCATGAAAGACTCCAGGTGGAAGGGTCGTCAAACAATTTCCTTCCAAATGCAAATCACCTATGACGGTCGATTCCCCGGAGGAACCGGCGTGAAACAAAGTTCGGGGAAGAGTCACGATTCTATTGTCAGCCAGGTCCACAGTGTCAATGTCATTCTGTTGCAGAAGATCACGAAAAAGTCCCTCTGGCAGCTCTGTCAAATGGTTTCCACGCAACGAAATAGATCGTACTCCTTGGTGGGCACCCCTTGCAATGAATGCATCTGGCAGAACTTCTGTGATGTTGAAATTCGTCAAGTTGAACTCAAGCATATCAGGGACACCCTGCGCAACATAGCCGGTGGGAATCACGCAGCGTTCGAGCAGAAGCGATGTTGGCGCAACAGTTGAGCACTGGCAGGGTGGACAAAGTCCAGCATCAGCATGAATCGAGTCTGAGAAGGCACCAAGGACGAGGCCCCCGAGCGGAATGCCAACGAAAGCCAACAAAGCGAGAGCGTATGCAGAGGAGAAGATCATTCTCTTCCACGCTTGGCAATTGGGCGCGGCACGTGGAACTTGGAAAAGCGCGATCCAATCTGCAGTCTCTAAAGATCGACACACGCACAACACATGTGCGATGCAGATGTAGATCGACATGTAATTTAAGAAACTGCTCAAAAAAATGTCGGTCAAAGACTCTGTTGTGGCAAAGACAATGTATAGCCAGATCGAGGTCACCATGTAGCCGACATCCAAAACTGCATCGAGCAAAGCTGCACCGACACGGCTAAAGACATAGTTCGGTATCACAAGGATCATGGCTGGAAAGAGGATGTTACACAAAAGAAGCACCATGAAGCAGTGAACAGCGGTGCTGGCCCGCAAGGATTCAGAGCCATGGGTATCCTGGATGTTCCGGAATAGACTGGCTTTGGCCAGCCCTTGCATCACCACTGTCAAGAACTGTAGGGCTGCAACTTTGAAGGCATAGTAGCATCCCTGCACACCCAAATATGTTCGATACCAGAGTTGGGTTGGCCTTGGACGAATTTTGAAGCTCCTTCGATGCTTCCGGCAGCAAAGACAGCAGCAACAGCTCAGCATCTCCCACAGCACGATCAGAAAACATGTCAAGAAGGGCAAGGTCATGGCGAGCATCCTCAGATTCAATTTCATTCCACACTCAGACGCATAAGAATAACCATCCTCGTCATAAAGATAGGTACAATGGTGCAGACCGTCGTACAGACCAAAAAAATGGTCCCAGGTGTTGTAGTTGTTCTTGCCGCCAAATTGTGCGCCAATGATGTAACACGAGGAAAGTGCAACTAGTCGTAGGAGGGCAGTGCCCACAATCATGCATCTGGGGACCTCGGAATCACGTTGGAGTCGAGAAACTTCCCAAGCTGATGCCTTGGTCTTGTCTAAAAGACCCAAGGAATCTGCTGCATCAGAGAGGCCTTTCTGAGCCTCCCAAGAACTCAGAGATTTCTCCATCAAAACAACTGTGGTCAAGTAGCCCTGGAGAGACACCACAACTTTACAGTTTTTTTTGTAAGATGCAACTGCGAAAAAGTCGCGAGCTGAGACGATTTCCACACCATCCAAGTCTTTCAGCATGTCCCACGCATCTTGGACTTCCTGCAGACTGTCACACCAGACTTCGCAAAACAAAATATCCGCTCCTTCCCTTTCGTCCAGCTCTGTAAGGGATTTGATCTTCGCAGTAACTTCTAGTCCTGTGCTCGCAAGTGGTTCACAAACAACAGTCTGAAAAAGATTCATGTGACGTTTGGCTTGCTGATAATTGCTCTTCAAGTCTTGCTGGGTCTGTAGCAGCTCTTGAGATGAGCCGTCTGTATGGCTCCTCAGTATGGTTGACACCTGAACCAGGTTGTTGCTGGTTTCTGATGTAAGCTGCAGCACTTGAAAGTAGCTGGCTTCAGTGGCAAGCGCCATGTTGAAGATGCTCTGTTGCATGCCATCCAAGCGCTTGGCGGTGTACAAACAAGTGCCAACGGAAACGACCAGGAATGTGACGCAAATAGAAGCTGCTGACATGCCAGTGCTTTCCTCGAGAAAAATGCAAGTCACTGGAAGCAACGGCGCTAAAATCACCAAAAGCAAAAATCTGCTTTGGATCTCTGCCGCTGCTTGAATGGTGAGAAGAAGGACCAACTCCAACCAGCCCAAGGTTCTCACTACTGCAGAGGATAGTTTCCTTCCAAAGCGATGGAAGCGATGCTTGTGGCAAAAGCCATGACGATTGGGGTGGAAGGTGCTGCAGTTTGTTTCGCTGCAAGGAAAGGGCAGATCTGGACTCATCTCCTGAAACTTCGCAGCATCAAACCTTGCTCTTGCTCTGGGGACGGCATCCGCCGGAAGATTCTTGCCTCCGAACATCTGAAACCAGGCAGATTCAGCCTCTTCGATGCTGATCCATTTGTCCGTGTGGCGCCAGGGCCACCCGTGGACAGAGTTGTAGATGCCTTGCCTGGGCTCGAAGCTTTTTGAAGAGAAGCAACTCTTCAAGTTGACTTATGATGGCATAGTCTACTACATATAAACATATGCAGGTATCTATACAACTGTGCATGGATATACCTGGATCTTCGAAAGGATACAAATAAGTGTCCGTTTCCAAGATTTCTGCCCTTAGGGCGGATTTCTTGTGAAGGAGCTGGAAATGGTCACTTTTTGATTATTGCCAAATTATTGCGGTTAATTTTGGATTTCGTGCCTTTTGGGCTGATCTTACTCTACTTTGCGTAAAAATGTGTCGATTTTTTTGGGCGGAAATTCCCGGGAAAAAGGCGGAAATACCCGGGAAAAGGGCGGAAATACCCGGGCAGATTCATCATGACTCAAAAATGAAAACATGAAGTGGCATGTTTTTTCTTGAAATGGTCATTTTTATTTTGAAATGGGTAAATCTCGAAAAAATGGTCAGAAATCAAACCAAAATCTGCCCTGGAAAGAAATTTGTAACCAATGAATATCCAGGTATTTGCAAGGGAATTTCCTACATTGTACTGTAACAGATAAGCATATAATTCATACAGATGGGTTCGAACCACGTACTTCAATTTGGTTCGAACCATGGTTCATACATGCTAGTTACTAATACTGGTTTATCAGAATTTCCCTAATCAAACCTGCCATAAAAAAATGGATCACCCATTTTGCGCCAGGTGTCCCAAATCCCCTATTTTGATCGATGTTGGTAAAAAAAAAAAGGTCGATAGTTAAATAAAGTGTTTTAAAGATGTTGATGGATGTTCCTGGAAGTTCAGGAATGTATCATGGATGTTAATGATTGTTCATGAATGTTAATGCATGGATGTCAATGGGCAGTGTTTGCATTGACACGTTGGTGTGGAAACGAACACGGCGGGCACAATTGACCAAGGTGCTTGGCAGCCTTTGCCAACTTGGGACATCTGTGCACATGCAGAACCAGTTCTCTCAGCCCGTCACAGTTGTGTCTCAAGAGCAGTTGCAGCTCCTGGTTCAGCCACCGGAAGCCAGTCATGGTCTGTCTTAATTGGAGGATGCCCCAAGTTATGATACGTTGTGGCAGATTTGGGTGCTGAAAACGAAGATTTTGAACCATTGGATGTTGGGGTTGCAGTTTTCGAGAGAACAGTTGTCAAAGACGGTTGAATGGGACAAGGTTGCTCAGGGTCCGGGTTTGGCTGGGTCTAAGTGGCACTTTTTTTTTTGCTACGGTACGGTCAAAATCATGTGTTTGTTGAGCTTTTGTTTCATCTGGAAATGCCTTCTTCGCGAAACATCATATCTAGCACTTTCTTGAACCTTTCGCGGCAAGAACCAACCATGTCACTTGTGAAGACAGGACTCAGTGAGGACCTGCCAGATCATGAATTTTGCCCGTTCCTTTCTTGGAACTCTCATGAGTTGTGTGATTGTTCTGTCATTGTTTTAAGGCGATCTGACTTTCGCAAGCCTTTCTCGATAAAATTGTTACTTAGCAAACTCGAAAAGAAACATGGCATGAACGGCAAACTCATGACAAAGACCTTAAGATCAATATGAATACCCAGGCAATCCCACTGATATCCGTATATTTACAGAATAATTAATTAAGAACAATGACGATATACCCTGTGACACCTTTATGATCCCTTATCCTTTAGATGCATCCTTGACAAACAAACCAACGATCGTCCAGACTCCTCAAGCTCGGGCAAACTGGACAACCAAAGCTGCAAGGATCCTCAGCCAACTCAGGACGGACCCGCAAACAGAAAAGTAGAGACTCCGATGCACATCTTTCTACAAAAGTGAGGCTCGCTTTGACGAACATCAAAGCCGTTACTGGATCTCCCTCTCACCAATCATTCTGTAGTTCTGGAGCAATCTTTCGAGATTTCTTCGCTTCTGAGCATGCTGTGAACCGCCATGTCGATGAACTCCAAAGTGACATGGGGGCATTTGGATGTTTCAGAATGACTGGCCTGACCCGGGTATCCATGGCAAACCGCTAATAGGCATCTACTGTTGGGTCAATTTCGCCAAGTCCAAACGCTGCGACCCAAAACTCAGCAGCTTTGCCGAGACTCGCAGCTTCGGCATCATACTCCGTTGCAGCTTCACCTGAGGTTGAACGATATGTCATGATATGTCTGTTTGGCCACGAAGCAGTAAAAAGGCAGGGGAAAACCAGCCTCAAAACCGAAATTCTGCGAACGTGGATGTTTATAGCCGTAGTGTGGGATCCTGACATGGTTTCAAAGATTCCAATTTTTGACTCACCTCCCAACCCTCACCTGGCGCAGAGGCGTCTTGATGATGCGCAGGGAGAGCTCCTGCAGTTCCGACAACGGCATGTCCAACTGCACGCATTCCACGGCTGTGAAGCCCAGGTCCAAGCCTCACGGATCTTGGGGGGTCTCAGTTGCCCGGTTTCCCTTGGGTGCAGCTTGGCTGGAAGGCTTGCAGCATCTTTCAACCAATCTCTTCCACGGTTGGGCCTGGGGTTGGTTTAAACGGTTTAAACACTGTGTTTAATGTTTAAACCATGTCTAAACCGAAAATGCCTAAACTAATCCGGGGTAGTCGGGGACCCTAGCAAGTTCGTTTAAACAAGCTTTAAAAACATGCTGAAACATGCTCATGTTTGTATAAACGGATTCCAAGAGATTGTGGGCCCAACTTGATGAGATCATGCGCACTTGCAGAATCAAGCACTGAGAAATCTGATGATAGTGACATCAACCTGGTGCTTCTTTTTCGCTGACCCGTTCTTATTTCCTCCATCACTCATTCGGGATATGTTCAAACGGCCCCATAACATATGTAAACGTTGAAACGTTTTGGGGTTCATGGCTCTAAACGTATTTAATCGGCTTAAAGCTTGAAATGGTTTAAGTTTAAACATGCTTGGACCGGAACTTCAAATCTTGGGGCAACATCCGACATCCGAGCCAGGGCACGCAGGACCTGCAGTTGAGGTGGCAAGTGTTCCAGAAAAGTGCTGAGCTGTGCGTCATCAAACTTGCCTCGGCGCAAAACGGCTCAGATCGACCCACCTGCTATGCACCTGTTGGAGCATGTTTCACGGGCTGGGAGGACATCACTGGCATACCGGACTGTATACTGTATACTTGCATTGGTTCTGAGCCCTTGCATTGGTTCTGAACCCTCAATTACAATTCATACCCAATCAATGACATCTTGGCTTTTCAGGACGTAAACCTTTAGTGGGCTAGGGTGCGTGCCTTCCATCCCGGGAAGCAGGCTTAGGAGGTTGCACTCCTAATCCCTTTCTATCTATACCCAACTTGCTCCGTTTAGACTCTAGACCTCATTTTTTGCCCAGCAATTCTTTTTCCTGGCGGGCATCGTTTTATGTCTGCAGCACTTTTGTGGTCAAGTTGCAGCATCCCGTCAAGGAGAGCTGCACCACACGTCGCTTCTCGTCGTTTTGCAGAGCTGTCAAGAGCCTGTAGGCCGCTGGAGCGTCAAAATTGCAGGTCAGAGAGTCCCAAACGTGTTCCCGGTATCTGCAGTGTCCAAATCAACGAGCAACTGCCACACCCAGTGGCCACGGTCCAACTTCAATCCATGGTTTAAAAAATGAATGATCCGCAGATTGCACCCTGTGTGAAAAACCATCAGAAATCCGCCCGCACCGAAGGTGCTGGGGCGTGATCTTCCGGATGGCACTCGTAAAAGGTTACAGGTTTACCTGGGGGGGGGGGCATTTTTCGGCCAAAACCTCCTGTTTTTGATAGGTCGTGACGCTCGCCTTCAAAAAACACTGTAAAAAACAGTACGGAAGACACCTGTTCGTGAACGCGCCCGTCCAAAATCGGCAAGCGAAAAGTGAAAAAACCCCGTGTTTTTCAACTTTTTGACCTCAATTTTTTGGTTTGCAACATCTTTTTTTGCGGTTCCGCAGGTGGCCTGGCCCGGAGGCGGATTTTTGAGTTTTTGGACCCGTTTTCGGACTGATTTTCGTCGTTTTGTGATAGCAGAAACACTGGTTTTTACAGTGTTTTTCTGTTTTCTGCATGCTTGACGGCTAGCTTCAAAACTTCCAAAAACATCGTAAATTACCCTGTTTTATGTTACGGTGTGAATGAAAACATCGTAAATACCAGTGTTTTTTTACGTTGGTTAAAAAAACACTGTAAATTACAGTGTTTTTGGCCACCTGACCCTCAAAAACCATGGTATTTGCAGTGGTTTCTGCTTCTCACCGCGCAAAAACACTGTAAATAACAGCAATTTCGCCGTTTTTTCATGTTTTTCGTTATTTTTTGAACTGCGTTGGTCCGCTATACATGGCTATCAAATTCTTCGCGTGTTTTTTTCCGACAATCAGTACTTTCGGATGTTTTTGGTCTCAATGGCCGACATCATTGGCAGTTACGAACGATGCGGTGCGGGCGGTTGCCGTCGCGAAGGGACGTGAATAATGTCAGCCATAGATTGCAATCCTTGACTGATGAACCTTGCTCTGTACCCGAACCCTACTTCGGCTCGGACCAGCCCACCTCGAGGTGTCCAGACCTTTCGCTATGGAAGAAAACCTCAGCTGCAGCGTTTGGCGAAGATCCAAGCCGTTTGGGAGCTAGAACGGCAAAATCGTACTCTGCACAAAAAGACGTCTGATTCGACGTGTACAGAAAATCAATTCTCTCAAAATTCCAAGGAGCCAATTGGCTAGGGCGAAGTGCCCGGCCAGCGCACGGCCCACTGCATCATAACCTCAGCGCGAAAGTTTGGAAAAGGTTTCGCAACCGACAAAAACTGAGCGAAACTGAAGGCATTTTGGGCACATCATCCCTTTGGGTCAAAGTTGACTCAGCACGGGGTGAGAGGAAATCAGAAGGAAAAGAACTCCAAAGATCAATCAAGTTGCTTTCATGAGCGTCTCGGGCTTCTTGTTCAAGAAAAACAGTCCCTGCTCGAGGTAGTCGTATGCTGTTTAGAATTTTGGTCCTATCTGAGGGTTCACTTGCCATAGCGCTGGCAATGTTGACATCCAAGCCCTTCCTTAGCTCGACACTGCCAGGTCACTGCTGGCGATTGAAAGTAGAGTGAGTGACATACACCACATGTGCAAAACGTGCCTAATATGTGGCAACATGCAACAACAAAGTGGCAGGGCATGGCAGTAGCCGCTTCCATTCTCAGGACAGATTGCCGATCGCAATTGCCCCAACCACCCCGACTACGCGCATCATCAACGCTTGTCACTTCTACTTTCTTATCTAGCTGAATCTCTACCCTGTTGCTTCACACAATCATCCAAAATTCACCAAATTCTGATTGCAACTGCATTGCCCCAAAACAATCGCTCAGCAACCCAACCGGCCCAACCGTTTAGTGGCCAAGTTACATCAGAATTTCGGTGGGGAATTCCGCCTCTCGTCGACTCTTCGCCAAGAACCCAAGCAACGGCATCATCTCTTTCTCGGCGCCTGCCAGGCCGTCGGTGATTACATGGGCACGTCCGTTCTCTGTGGCCGCCACATCCAGCAGCAACGGGTTCCTGAAGGGTTCAGAGCATCGGCTCAATCGGAACAAGGATGGGAACATGGATAACACTGACAGAAGCAGAAAGAAAGAGTGATGAAGAAGCAAAGGCAAGAGAGGTGAGAATTGGTCAAAGTCTGAAAATAAACCATGATCAGCGATGCAATGTGCAGCAAGCCGCAAGTCAAAGTCAACGCCAAGCGTCCCCTTGTTGCGTTCTTCCACTGCAATGGACTCTTCAAAGCAACACCAAATCCTGACAAAGCTCAGGATTGTTGTTGTTGTTGTTGTAAGCGGACGTCAACCTGCTCCTCACCGAAGTGAAGTAGTTAAGACGCCATAGTATGCCATCTGCGAGAATCAAGTTCCCATACTTCTCCAAGCAAAACTCAAAGGAAGCGAAACCTGCCTGAAAAAAAGAAGTAAACACAGTGCGCCAGCTAGCATTCCGCAAGGAATGTTTGTTGATCAAGTACGACTTGCCAAAAAGGTAAAGTCCGTAGCCTCTGCAGACGCCAAACTGCTGCAGCCCAAGCCACGGCTCGCTGATGTCGCTGCACAGCCGCAGCGATCATGGAGCGTGAGTCACGCAACACCTCACCTGCCTGAGCATCGGCTGTCGCATTGAGAACGCGGCAGAGATGAACATCAATCCAACCATCTGGTGGTGTCCAGTCAGGCACCTTGTTGTGAGAAGGGATCCAAGTGCAAACAGTGCCCTGAATCAATAAGCCGCTGATCCGCTGCCAGAAAAGCGGCAAGTCACCCTCCCAACGGCCAGTGCTAATGCCTCGCTGAAGCCGCCGCACCAAAGCCTGATTGTCAATCAAGAGCATCACCGGTCGGTTAGCTGCAGAAGAGGCTAAACAAGCTTGCAGAAGAGCAGCACGCTCACCTGCAGCAGGTGTTTGCTCAAAACCAGTCACGGCACCTTGAACAGTGGTGCCTGAAAGTGTCGAAACCGCCCAGCTAGCTCTTTGCCATCGATCACAGGAAGTAGCTATGATACAACTGCCGTCCAAGCCCAAGGTGGGTCGCTGAAGAGGATCGAATTGCTGAATAAAAGTAACCAAAGCAGGATCTGCAACCATGTTGGAAAAAGGCAACACAGGAGGAGCATCCACAAGTGGAACCAGCAAACGACGTTCAGTAGCGCTCCTGAACTCACCATCCCATGGCTGCGCTTGGCAGTGAAAAGTGAGATGTTCTCGATCAGGAGACCGCAATCCACATTCACAACTCAAAGCAGAACCAAAGCGCTCTGTGACCCTGCCATCCACTGCAGCACCAGTCAAAACCCTGCGACTGTAGTAATCCATGCCTAAAGCTGCATTTGCCTGAAAAAGGAAAACCGGCTCCTTGCCGTTTGGCCATCGACCATCCGTTTTGGTGTCTTTAGTCCACAAACCAACGAGCCATGAATGGATAGCGGCTTTTTGCAAGCTTTTCAAAGACATCCACCCAGGTTTCAAAATCCCAGCAGGCGTGTGCCACAGGCCCTCGTCAAGTCGCCATTTCCAATCTTTGAGCACTGCTTTCCAGCGAGGAGCAGGCGAGGTAGCTGCAGGCAACCCTTGGGCACGGCGGCATTGCCGATTCCATTCCGCCCGGGCGGCGGTGAACTGGAGCGCAAACATCGGATGTAGTCTTGCAGAACCCAAAGAATTCCAAAAGAGCAGCCGGCTCCTACCTGGAGGAGCCCTTCGACCCCAAAGTGCAGTTTCGATCATAGATGTCCATGTTCGAATGGTTCTTGCACTGAAGTGATGAAAAGCACCGGACCAAGCAAATAAAGATATCACCAACTTATGCACCAATGCAATGCGAGTGCCTAAGTGCTGTGCTGCCAAACGAATTTTGAGACATCGTCGCTGAATGTTGTCACTGACAATATCCGCATCAACACAAGAACTGGGGCGTGACAAATTGTATTGAATGCCAAGCAGTGTGAAAGTATCCGCAGGTACACCTACTAAATCTTTCTTCTTGCGCACCTTGGCAACCAGATGCGGTTTGGTGGCGAAGCTAGCCAATTTGTCAGGGTGAAGTTCGAAGCCGAGAATAGCATCGGCTTGCGCTCCCGCAGTCATGGCGTTGATGACCACTTCAAAACTTTGACAACCTTGTTTCCACATGGTGCGATCGTCCAAATAAATAGCCAAAGAAATCCTTGGTTCCTGCCGTTTGACAAACCTCACCCAAACTGTCATCAAAGCGTTCAGTAGCGCAGGGCTGGCTGGACAGCCTTGCAACAAACCCCGTTGAGCAAAAACCGGATGAGGGTGATAAGAACCTTGCCAAGCAAACCAACGACGCTGTTCACTGTAAAAATCAGCGAGTAAATCACAAATTGATGAGGGAGCACCGAACCATCGCCACACTTTAATGGCTGTCTGAGGGCAAACTGAATCAAAACACTTGCGAACATCAGCTTTGCACCCGACCAAATCGACACGAGACTGCTTTGCCGTGCTGACAGCTTCGTAGAAACGTTCATGGACTTCCATGATGCCCTTGCCTGGTAGACCACCAAAAAGTTCGGGCGAAGCCCATTCCGCAATCCAAGGCTGTAATTTTTTCAGAGTGGCACTCATGCAAATACGCCACAGGACAGTGACAATGGCTAAAGGGCGCATGCCACCAGTAGCTTTTGGTAACAAAGCAATTCTAACATCTTTCCACATCGCAGGAACACAGCCATGTCGCAAGCAAGCATCCCAAAGAGCACCGACCTGATCCCAAAAAACAATGGGAAGATTGCACAAATGGAGAGCTGTCCAGGCATCCATGCCCGGAGCCTTGTCCTTCGCTTTGAGCGCAATCCGAACCAATTCAGAACCACTAACCTGAATACAGTTATCCGGCAATGGATCGCTTGCAGAGCCAATCTGAGAGTACAACTGGTCCCCCAGATTCAAATTCGGAAGCGACCCTGGATTCCAATACCTCTCCCAATCCAATGCTGCGCACTTGGCCCTATCTGCAGGTAGAATGGGGCCATCAAAACTTGCAGTAGGACTGGCGGGCGGCACCTGTTTGACCCACCTGCCTAGTTTGGTGGCATTTTCCTGCACGCTGTCCTTCCACGCCTCCAAGCGTAACTTGGACGCTGCTGTAGCTTCTGCATTTGCCAATTCTAGCACTGCACTAACCAACCTGGGGTCATCCAAAGAGAAAAAAGCCAAAGAATGATGTAAATGAGGGCCATCACGAACCAACTTCTTCTCCAACTCTGGCAACGGGGCCTTTTGGTACTCCACCACTCTTCGTGCGAAGCGTCTGAGCTTGCGCTCTTTCACTGTTTGCAAAGAAGGCGCTTTTGAAGACGGAGGACTGGCAATTTGCTGCGGGCCCTGGCGCATAGCACGACCAGTTTTGCCACGTGCGAGAAGAAGAGATTCTGCGCAGTTGCTAAGTAAGGTCCAAGCAGAGTCCACGTTGCCTGTACTCAATGCATTTCCAAAATCGTCACATACTTCTTCCCAAGCACTTAGCCAAGAAGCTTCAGCAACCTTTTCAGAATGCAAAGGGGCACCAACTGGGAGAGTCCACGGTGTGGATAATGAACCAGGCACATGCAAGTTGTAAACCACCGCGTCATGGTCAGCCACGCCAAGATGTTGCTCCCTACCAGTAATAATTAACCGAGGAGTGCACAAGCCATAGTCAATGACCACACCTGTATAAACACCTGCAGCAGTTCGATGTGTACCACCTAAAACACGATCTCCGCAAACCAGCTCATCACAGGACCGCCACTGTCCAGTAGCCAAAACGTTAGAAATTGGCCAACAATGAATTTCCAAATTGAAGTCACCCATGATCACTGTATCTTCACCACAAGTAGCAACAAACTCGAACAGCGCACCCAGCGCACGGCTGGCAGCTGTGCGATCTGAAGCATGTAAGTAAACATTGATGAGAATCAACGGCCTTTGCTGAGGTCTATAGAGTTTGACGGCCATGGATCTTTCCACAGACACCATGTCGACAGGAAGGGCCAAGGCCTCAGCAGGCCACTTTGTTAGAACCAATGTACCACCTTCCACTACATTTTTCGAATTTCTTCCTTGAGGGCCAGGAAAAAGTTGCCACCCGCGTGCCTTGACGGCACGAGTCACAGCATTCCAGCTGTGATTGTTAACTCTAGTTTCTTGAAGACACAGAACATGTAAATTCTGGAGCTGAGCAAAGTCAAGCACACCACCCAAGCGGCCTCCCAAGGACCGTACATTCATAGTCCCCAACCGCATAGTGCTGTCAGAGCCCGTCATGGGTTCTGATCCACAGCGCCATCCTGCTGCAATCCCAAAATGTCCAAAGCTCGCGAAGCAGCTCGCTGTCTGGCACTTGGAGCCTGAGCCGCAAGAGGCACCAAAATATCCCTCTGGCCCTTTCGAAACTTAGTCCAAACCATTTTACGAGGACACTGACTTCCTGTAAGCCGTCTGATGTTGTTGACACAACGCTTGCAATGCACACAAGCAAAACGCACCGTAAAATTGGCAGGCCACACAATGGCCTCAATCTGATGCGTGCTGTCTGCTGCAGTATCAGTGGTGCGAAATGCTCCAGAGTCGATGATTTCCAAAACTGTGCGGGCACCCTTCTTGAGGTCATCGCTGATGTCTGCATTTTTGAGGCACGCACGCAATCTTTCCACCAACTGCTTTCGTTTGGGCCCTTTGCTGGAAGCATACTGTTCACAAGCAATCTTTGCCAAACGCTTCGCTGTCAAAGCCATACTGCCACAAGTTTTGCAAATGACGTAAGACATTCCAACTCTTTTCTGTTTGCCATTTCCTGTGGCTGGAATGGTAACGAAAGTGGGGTCATGTGCTCCAGCATCGCCACGCTTGAAGCCAAGCAACCTTCGAGCCACTGCAGCTGCACGCACCTGGCGCGTGGCTTTGCTAGCATTCTCCCGTCTGAAGCTGCTGTCCTTGTGGAAGAGCTTGGCATCCGCCTGAGGATGTTTGTCTTCCCTATGCTTGCGGATGACGCTGTACACTTGGCCAGGTTTGAGGTTGTGATCAGCGGACAAGCCAAGTTTGCAAACAGGACACTTCCAGCTATAGACTCCTCCCTTCTTGACCGCAGACAGCGCAGGCAACGTGTTTTTGAAGCCGATTTTCAACTGTTCCTTCTCATCGGGATGCCAAGCATTGATATGAGCTCTCTTCTTGTCAACCCATCCTTTGCACACCCCAGTGGAAAAGTCACACAAAGGGCATGTCCACTCAGTACGCTTAGTGCGTCTGGACGAAGCACTGGCTGCGTCTTGTCCTTCACTGGCTGCACGTGGCGTGCACGGACCCCGACCCGAAGTAGCAGCCGCAGGGGAAGAAGAATTCTTGCGCTGCTCTGACAAAGTAGAGGCGGGCGCGGGGCTAGCACACCTTCCACGTTTATTGTTGCTATGAACCAGTGACGGCAAAGCTGACAATCTGGTGGCACCAACTGAAGTAGCGCCACATTCCGATCCTCCACCTCTGTTGCCCTGCATTGGACCATTTGCGGCCTGAGTCAAAACTTCAGGAGGGAAAGCACCTTCAAGTCGTTCATAGTGCTTTGAACGAAACCACAAAGCGATGGGAGCACCACCCTTGCCACGACCATTGTAAATCTCCGGAACCCCACGAGGCTGGAAGACAATGATCGGGCGATCGTAGTGCACAGCCGCAGCAGAAACTTCAAGAGCACTGCCCCAAGCACCAATCTTTGAGAGCATGGTGAGATAGCTCTCCCATGATTCGCAAGCATTCTCCGCCTCTGTTGGCTCCTTGCCGTCCCACCAGGGCTTGTAACGACCCTGGTGCTTGGTCAGGTGGGTGACAACGCTTGCACGCACATTCCTGGCTGTTTTTCCGCCCAAACTTTGAGCAAGGGCTTCAAAAAGACAGTTGCCGTCAGCAGGGATGCTTTTCACCTTCATATTGTGAGGGGGCTTGGGTTCCCCCGCAACACGCTTGGCCGGAGGACTCTTTTCAGGAGTACTGACAGTTCTTTTTGCCCCAGCGGGTTCTCCAGCATTGTCCATCTTTGCGTCCGACTTGTCCTCGTCCAAATTCTCAGCAGGAACCTTCTCAGCCCCTGCAATAGTCACTGGCTTTTTGACTGGCGTTCCCATGTAGAAAGATTTGCGAGGAGCAGGCGTGGCAATCGCCTGCCATGCATGGCTCTGGTTATAACTGACCCTTCCATTGCTAGCCAGTTTCATGGTATGTGTTCTCTGCCGTCTTTGTCTTGGAGCTTCAACAGCTACAATGACTTTTTCGCCAGCCTGAATTTCAATGAAATCCATATCCTTTTGAGCATTGGCCTGCACCCACCATTCCACTTGTTTGCCCACAGTTTTCCGGGACAACACCTTGAGTTCAGTCAGGCCAGCACGTGTAAGTTCCTGAGTCAAGGTACTAGCCGCCCAATCTCGCGGAACACCAGTGACGCGCCAAGCTCTGGCCTTAGGAGGAGGCTCGGCGCTCCTGGGCTTACGTACTCCCAGTCCATTCCATCCCCGGGCAATGCCCAGGTCACCAGCCATGGACTGAACCTTCTGCAAGTAGCTGGGCCCATCAAGTTCCGAACTTTTCTTGACCCACTCAACATCGCAAGATTCAATCACGGAGTTGTTCCATTGCAAAGGCTCCACAAACCAGGTACTTTTGCCTGAGCAGCCTAGAAGAGCTTTGGCAGCACTTCGCTCAATGCGTAAAAGGCCAGTGATCACTGGCTTGCCTCCGCCTTTCATGCTTTCTTGCTGAAACGCCCACATATCAAAGACTTTGTCCGCAACATGCTCTGGAACATGCCGATGCAACCAAGCCTGCGCGTTTGCCTTTGGCTTGGCCTGGATGCTCTGCCACTCGTTGTTTTGCAAATATTTTGCATCAACACTTAATCTCACTACAACAGTTTCAGGCTGCACTGCAGGAGCCGCTGACACAACGGCAGCTCTCTTGAGTGATGGCCCTTGGCCTTGAAGTGGGATCACAAACGCCTGCCTGGGCTGCACCTTGCCCGAGATCTTTCCTGGCACCATCCGCAAAGGTCGATCCTCCTCAGTCTGCTTGGCCTCTTTCGGCGCTAGCATCACAGCTGTGATGTTGAGCTCTCTTTTGATATCAGGGGAATCGCCTTTCAGCAAAACCTGCAACTCCTCAAGTTGCTCTTCCGAGTTCACTTGCACTGTAGCTGAAATATTTCCAGGCTTATCCAGTGCGACACAAAAGTCATCAAAGCCCAAAATGGGCCCCGTCCAGTCTGACTGACGCAGGCTCCACACCGGCTTAAACGCAGTGTTGGCTCGAACCACTTCAGCAAAGGTCTTGGGCGTTTTGTGGAGCTGCTGCTCTGTGTGTGGCTGTTTTTGGACGTCCGCCTTTTGCTTAGGATGTGGTTTCGAAGTATTCTGCGGAGGCTGAGTAGGAGGAGAAGAAGGGTAAAAACCACCCCCTTGGCCGTAATCCCCCAGACCACCATCACCGCCCTGTTTATTTTTGTTCTTGTTCTTAGTCTTCTTGGGTTTGGCACACCCGCCATGGCCCATCATAGCACTGAGCTGTTGAAGCAAATTCCCACCGCCACCCCCGAGTCCCAACAATTGGAAAAGCTGAGAGAGTAGTTTGAGAATCTCACCTGCTTGTTGCAAATTGAAGCCATTTGCTTGGTTATTGCTTTGTTTCTGTTTCCTTTTGCGAGCTGTTGCTCTGCTTCCTGCACCATTGCCATGCATGGCATGCATCAATGCGTTCCGCTCTTTTGAAGACACAGCCCAAATCTTCTGAAGCAAATCGAAACTTGCAAGCACCACATCTGAACAATTCGTTTCTAAGCACTGCCAAGGCCCATCAGCAATGCATAGACCCGCAGCCACCGCGCGGAGGTTGTCCAGATAGCTGCCAAAGCTCAGGATGAATGGGCAAGGGTAAACTGCGTGTCTTTTGGGGAGAGGCGTTCCTTTAGGAAAAGGATGTTCAATGTTTTGCATAATCAAAAACTATCTTAAGGGTCTAGTCTTGCCTGCCAAACCTCGCCAACCCATGCTCCCAACTTTCAGGCAAAGGTCCGAGTGAAGGGTGTGGCGTTCTCGTCCAAGACTAGCAAGACCCCAGCGCACAACTGGATGGCGCGATAGAAGGACGTCTTCCGGGGGTTGTTGCAAATCTCATTCTCCAGCTGATGCTGGTTGTTGGCGTAGGCGCACACCCAGTAAGCCGTTTGATCGGGCAGCTGACGCAAAGAAGCGTGACACTTGAGGCACGCCACGAACTTGCACACCGGCTCCAGCCAAGCGTGGGACACAAACCTCAACAACATTCACCAACTACATTTGAAGAGCTTGGAGCCATGGAAACTCAGGAACACCCCTTTCAAATAAACCACTCGAAGCATTTGTTCGTTTTATGTGTTTGATCATTTTAATGTGCTGACTTTTGAATCCATGCCCAGGTATTGCCACCAATCTGACTCATGTTTGGCTACATGTCCGGAAGCGTGCTTGGCTCAATTCACGTTGTCTCATTTTCTCCCATCGTTTCCCAAGAACTCCATGTTTTCCCACTATGTTCCAGGAGCCGAGTTGCCACAAGGGTCGTTGCATCTGAGCCGAGGTGGCCACCAACTCGACGTAGCTGCAGCCACCTCTTCCGTGACCAGCTGTGGCAGGTCCAATGACCCAGAAATTCGCATGATACAAATTGAAGGCCTGGCGGAGCCGAGATTCAGCACTGAAGTCCAGTAACTGGAATCAGAAATGCAGCAGGCCTCCGGAATGAGGAATTCGAACGAAATAGAATTGGAACTATCAGCTGTTGTTTACGCTATTCATCTTTTTAAGTCGCTTCCTTGCAGCGCCACTGACACGACCGAAATAATGCCAACACCTGGCCTCAAAAGACAAAGGCTGCCCGTATCCCAAGTGGTGTGCTTCGCACCAGCTGGAGGCAACGTCTTCTACAAAGACCAACCTCGGTGCCCGGTTTGGGTCTGCGATGATGTGACGTGATGTGACATGATGTTTTCAGAGTGTTTAAACTCTTTGCTCGCATGCACCCACAGAAACAAAATCAGCAATTGCCCTGCCATCTAGTCCAAGCTGCAAAGATGATAACTGTTCGATGGTGATTCCTCGCAGTTCTGTTGCTGCGATATTAATTGGAGGTCCGGAACTTAGCCACGAATAGTTCGCGAACACCTGAGCGTAAAGACAACAATTTTCCAAAGACTACTTCAACCCTCCTGATCATGTGCTTTCTTCCAGAGTGCATGCAGATTTCGCAACAAGTGAGGCACTAATCTTGAATACTTGTGTTTCTGCAATATATAAATGAGTTGTGTTTTTTTTTCTGATGTAGGGTGTTATCATTTTATAGGTACCTACGCGAGGCTTACATTTCGCGTACGCGCGCACAATTTCAGCCTACGCGGAAGCTTGGGTGGGGATAGGTTGCCTACGCAGGCCTACGCGTGTGAGGTTTTATGTAATTTTTAGCTAAATATGCCTACGCGCCCACAGTCTCAGCAACATTTCCGTATGATTACGCACCCTTTTACAAAGCTGTTCATGATCCAATGATCGCATTAAAAACAATGAGGAAGAAGAGGGCCATGTGCTTATTCATTGGTTGTTACATAGTGAGAAGACATTAGGCAACTACCTATTTCGCCAAAAATGCATCGAGCACGTTGAGCGCGCGTTTTTTGTCCAGTCCGCAGATGACTCAAACGAAGAGGAGGAAGAGGAACTTAAAGAAGAAGAAGAAGGAGAAGAAGTAAAAGAAGAAAAATGATTCCGCAGGTGGAAGACGCTGGTTCTGCCGTCGCTTCTTGGCAGCAGGGAAACAACATATAATATTATACGTTGCAGGAGCATGTTTGGGGGCATCCCTGGTCATGAGAGTTTTCGCCTACGCGTTGCCTACTTTTCGCCTACGCGGTGCCTACGCGGGGGAGCTCCTTTATTTTCGGATTTTGGCCATGCAAACTTCGAGGCTTGAGACTCTGCAGAAAAGGGAACGGAATAGTTCCATTAGCTTTTGCTTCTCAGCAAAACAGTTGCACGTTCTAATTACTTGTGTTTTTTGGACAGCGGAAATTTCACATGCCGCATCGAGCTACACTCATTAGACCCTTCAATCTTGACCCACAGGCTGCAAAATTCGTCGAATCCGCGGTCGCCTACGCGGCGTCTGCCGCAAAATGAAGCAAAATATGCCTACGCCAGCCTACGCACCCCAGCAAACTGCCTACATCCAACCATGTGCAGGTCAACTTTCATATAAATCTTTACTTGTAAAAAAAAACTCTGCTCAAATGAAGTTACCAACTCACACGCACACCTCCCATAAGATCTAAACTTGTGACTCCACAACCGAGGCACAAAATCGGCATTGAATTCCTGCAGCTGCTGGTTGGGTTCCAACTTGTGTGGACCACAGGACAGCAGCACATTGCCGTGCCAAGGCTCATCCAACCTGAGGCGGTGGCGGAAATGCATGATTGATGACCCAAGAGTTTTGCCATGGTTCATTTGATTCAAAGACAATCAAAAAGAAAACTAACGAAAAAACTAAACCAATGGACATCAAAGTCCACTCCTTGACAGCTTGCAGATTCTCCTGCTGGAGACCACTGGACCACACCATACCACACCACCTTCCGTTCACTGCACATTGATTCAGCGTCTCCTTGCCAAGAGTAGTCAACCGCAACATGCCTTCAAACCAATGCATGTTGGACATGTTGGACCTTTGGCAGCCAAGTGACACTTGCCGCAAGTACTGTACTGCCTCCTCTGCTGTGCTGCTGTTGCACGTGAAGATGCCCTTTTTTGGGACTTGAATCCGGGCCATGGCAGTGGAAGTGTTTCTGCAGCTGCGTGGGATCAGAATTTGTTTCATTTGTTCTGCTTGGCGCCTGTACAGGATTCGGATTTTTTTAGGGTAGGCGTCATATCTCAATTATAAGATCAGGGGTTGTCCAAAGTCATGGATGAAAGATATGGTGCAAATGATATGAGTCCCATGGTATTCATTTTGTTTCCTGGCGCAACTGAAACTGGAGCCTCAACTCTTCGGCCAACACAAAGATCTGTCATTTGTTGCGTCATCTTCTGTTCTTCCACAAAATCTGTGATGCAACATGACTACGTTTTACGAGCATGATGTGTGAAGCACGTCGGAGAGTTTCGCTGCGCAATTTTCCAGCGGGTGTACACGTTCAATTATTTTCATCTTGCCAAAAAAAGATGACATCTGATCTACCTACCGGTTCCTACCGATCTCTTCGCAAAGGAACTGCTTCTGCCTTTCCACCTTCACAGCCGACGTACAACTTCTGCCACGAGTCTGTGCTCTGAGTTTAATTGCAGCGAGAAAACCTGTGAATCGCCAGCGCTTTCAACATAGCCCCATAGCCCACAGAGAAAATCCGTTGAGATCATCACCGTCAGTCCAGATCACTAGTCGAAAATTCAAAGTCATTGCGACAGAAAGTCCGAAGGATGAGGTCCTCTGCACTTTCCAGGGGCACAGCCGGGCACAGCCGGGCACAGCCGGGCACAGCCGGGACAAAACCTGCAAAGCAACATCTCTACCAATCATAGTATGCTGCGTGCAGCATGTGCAGAGGCATGTGCAGAGAGTTTCTGCCTTCACAGCTGACGCGCAACTTTTGCCACGAGTCTTTGCTCCGAGTCTAATGACTGCAGCGAGAAAACCTGTGAATTAGTAGCAGCTTCAACACCGCCTCGGAGAGGAGAAAACTTGAGATCATCAGAGTCAGTCCCAAGTTCCGAAGGCAATTTCCATCAATTTCCAGGAGCACAGCACCTCAATCCACATGGAGCTCCACCTTGAGGCGTGCCAGGTCCTCCCGCGTGGCGTCTGTCAGGCGGTTTCCACGCAGGTCCAAAGTAGTGAGGCTCTCCAGGTCGAACTGCGTAGCATTCAGCGTTCTCAGCTTGTTGTGACTCAAGTCGATCACTGACAAGTTAAGTCCATCGAAAACACTAGGATGCAGTTCTTCGAGTGCATTTCGACTCAAGTTCAGCAACTTCAACGAGCTCAAATTCCTCAGGCGCAAGCCGCTGGCAGGGATAAATGCAGTTCAGCAAACTCAAACAGTTTCGGTTTCCACATGGCAACGTTGCCAACTATCACGCAAATTGGAAGGCCGCTTGACGTTTTCTCTCAGCGGTCACTTGCAAAAAGGACTTGAACTATTGAGGATATTGCGGTATGAATAGCTCGCAAAATTATTGCAGGTCTTGGAGGAAATAACATGAAATAACTAACTCAATCTCACCAACAGCACGGCAAATCATGTTGTTTGAGAAACCCTTGTAGGAACTGTGCAACCCCTGGCGGACCTTGGAACTCACAGAGACAGATTACTGCGTCAGATCTTCAGAGCTGTTGCAAACGACCCATTGTTTTGTCATAGGCTATATGAAAGTGTGAAAATTGTCACAAGTTCTGGCATTTAAAAGGAAACAAATGAGTAGCGGACAAAAATATGTGATAAATTAAATGCCATGCACAAATTAGGGTTCTCCTCTATCGGCTGTGAGGATTTCAGTGCTCCGGGAGGTATCACAAATGGGGTGTCGGTATAGGGATGTATAGGGTCGTCCCCTATCGGGCTATCGGTGAAGGATTTGTGCAACAGAAAGGCCAAGGCGAAGCAAAACTAAACTAGCATTACATACAGTACAATAATTTTGTTACTCAAATGATTAATGACACTGAAGATGAGGCTGTCACCTTGCATCACACACTCTAAAGTTCTGTGAACGCCCACTAAACTTCGCCGAGAGTCTGAAACAGCTGTTGTGGAAGTCTCACCAGCTGATTTCTCTGCAGCTGCAGCGTTAGAAGTTTCCTGAAACCGTTGAAGAGGCCACCGGGTAGAGCGGTGAGGCGGTTGCCACCCAGGTTCAGCTCCAACAGGTTCCGCTTGAGGGTATAATACTTTGAATTATACGAATCATATTCAACCTCATATATCGAAGTAAAAACATCTTCATCCAGATCTGTCAGCTGGTTCTGCTCCAGGTTCAGCTCTTCCAAGCGGATCAACGAGTAGAAGGGTCTGTCGCCAAGGCTGCGGAGCCTGTTGCCTTCCAGCCTCAGGCTGCGAAGATCCGAGAGACCGTGGAAGGCATCTGACGAGAGCGTCGCCAGCTCGTTGTCTGCCAGGTCCAGGATCTCCAAACGACCCGTCCCATTAAAGACCATCAAAGAGACCTTGTGGCTCAAGTTCAGGCTGCGAAGATCCCAGAGACCATCAACGAAATAATCCGGAAGCGTCACCAAGTTCAGGGACCCCAAGGAGCTCAAACCGTCAAAGACCTTCGGAGGCAATTCCTGCAACTGGTTGTGCGAGATGTTCAGGATGCCTCTGTGACCAAAGGTGAGACCATGAAAGGCGTCTGCATGCAATTCCTGCAACTTGTTCTGCGACATGTCCAGGATGCCGTACCATCCAAAGGTGAGACCATGAAAGGCGTCTGCATGCAACACCTGCAACTGGTTGTGCGAGATGTTCAGGATGCCTCTGCTGTAATCAAAGGTGAGACCATGAAAGGCGTCTGCATGCAATTCCTGCAACTTGTTCTGCGACATGTCCAGGATGCCGTCGTAACTAAAGGTGAGACCATGAAAGGCGTCTGCATGCAATGCCTGCAACTTGTTCTGCGACATGTCCAGGATGCCATAGTCACCAAATTTGAGACCATGAAAGGCGTCTGCATGCAATTCCTGCAACTTGTTCTGCGACATGTCCAGGATGCCGGAGTAGCCAAAGGTGAGATTTTGAAAGGCGTCTGCATGCAACACCTGCAACTGGTTGTGCGAGATGTTCAGGATGCCTCTGTGACCAAAGGTGAGACCATGAAAGGCGTCTGCATGCAATTCCTGCAACTTGTTCTGCGACATGTCCAGGATGGCGTACCATCCAAAGGTGAGACCATGAAAGGCGTCTGCATGCAACACCTGCAACTGGTTATGCGAGATGTTCAGGATGCCTCTGTAACCAAAGGTGAGACCATGAAAGGCGTCTGCATGCAATTCCTGCAACTTGTTCTGCGACATGTCCAGGATGCCGGAATAGCCAAAGGTGAGACCATGAAAGGCGTCTGCATGCAATTCCTGCAACTTGTTCTGCGACATGTCCAGGATGCCATAGTCACCAAATTTGAGACCATGAAAGGCGTCTGCATGCAATTCCTGCAACTTGTTCTGCGACATGTCCAGGATGCCGTCGTAACTAAAGGTGAGACCATGAAAGGCGTCTGCATGCAACACCTTCAACTTGTTCTGCGACATGTCCAGGATGCTATTGTCACCAAATTTGAGACCATGAAAGACTCCAGGTGGAAGCATCGTCAAACAATTTCCTTCCAAATGCAAATCACCTATGACGGTCGATTCCCCGGAGGAACCGGCTTGAAACACACCTCGGGAAAGAGTCACGATTCTATTGTCAGCCAGGTCCACAGTGTCAATGTACTTCTGTTGCAGAAGATCACGAAAAAGTCCCTCTGGCAGCTCTGTCAAATGGTTTCCACGCAGCGAAATAGATCCTACTTCTTGGTGTGCACCCCTTGCAATGAATGCATCTGGCAGAACTTCTGTGATGTTGCGATTCGTCAAGTTGAACTCCAACCTGCTAAGAGCAGCCTGGGCAACATAGCCCGTGGGAATCACGCAGCGTTCGAGTAGAAGCGATGTTGGGGCGACAGCTGCACATTGGCAAGGGGGACACAGCCCATCATGACTCGTGAAGGCACCAAGGACAATGCCCCCAAGCAGAATAGAAACAAAAGCCACGTATGCCGTGGAGAAAAGAATTCTCTTCCAGGCTTTGCCGGTCGGGGGAGCCCGCGGGACTTGGAAAAGCGCGATCCAATCTGCAGTCTCCAAAGATCGACACACGCACAACACATGTGCGACGCAGATGTATATTGACATGTAGTTTAAGAAACTGCTCAAAAAAATGAAGGTCAAAGACTCTGTTGTGGCAAAGACACCGTATAGCCAGATCGAGGTCGCCATGTAGCCGACGTCCAAGACTGCATCGAGCAAAGCTGCACCGACACGGCTAAAGACATAGTTCGGTATCACAAGAATCATGGCTGGAAAGAGGATGTTACACAAAAGAAGCACGATGAAGCAGTGAACAGCGGTGCTGGCCCGCAAGGATTCAGAGCCATGGGTATCCTGGATGGTCCGGAATAGACTGGCTTTGGAAAGCCCTTGCATCACCACTGTCAAGAACTGTAGGGCTGCAACTTTGAAGGCATAGTAGCATCCCTGCACGCCCAAATACCTTCGATACCAGAGTTGGGTTGGCCGTGGACGAATTTTGAAGCTCCTTCGATGCTTCCGGCAGCAAAGACAGCAGCAGCAACAGCTCAGCATCTCCCACAGCAGGATCAGAAAACATATCAAGAAGGGCAAGGTCATGGCGAGCATCCTCAGATCCAGATTCATTCCACACTCAGACCCATAATAATGACCATCCTCGTAAAGATCGGTACAATGGTGCAGAGTGTCGTACAAACCAAAAAATGGGTCCGCGAGATATGCCAATGAACTGGAGTTCTTGCTGCCAATTTGTGCGCCAATGATGTAACACGAGAAAAGTGCAACTAGTCGTAGGAGGGCAGTGCCCACAAACATGCATCTGGGGACCTCGGAATCACGTTGGAGTCGAGAAACTTCCCAAGCTGATGCCTTGGTCTTGTCTAAAAGACCCAGGGAATCTGCTGCATCAGAGAGGCCTTTCTGAGCCTCCCAAGAACTCAGAGATTTCTCCATCAAAAAAACTGTGGCCAAGTAACCCTGGAGAG